TTTGACTTGCATTTCCCTAAGGACGAACGATGTTGACCATCTTTTCACGTGCTCAGTGGCTGTTATCACACATGGGAAAAAATGTTTTTCAATCCTCTGCCAGTCTTCTTGAGTTGTCTTTAATGACTGAGTTGTAACGTTTCTGTGTATACTCTGGATGTTTCACAGGAGTTATACAATTTCCAAATAATTTTCTTTCATTCTCTAGATTATCTGTTCACTCATTCAGTGGTATTGTTTGTTGGAGTCTAGTTAATTTTTTCTTTTGTTTCTTGTGTTTTTGTTATCTATGAAACTACTGCCTAATCCAAGGTCCTGAAGATTTAGTCCTTTGTTTTCACTTAAGAGTTTTATACTTTTAGCTCTCTTTCTAAATCCATCTTGAGTTAATTTTTGTCATGTGGTTTGATACATAAACCCAATTTTGTTCTTTCTGGATGTGGATATCCGATTATCCCAGCATCATTTGTTAAAAAGGCTATTCTTACCCCCATTGAATTGTCCTGGCGTGCTTGTCAAAAATCAGCTGACCATGATTTTATTTTTAGACTCAGTTCTCTTCCATTGACCTATATGTCTGTCCTTGTGCCAGTACCACACAGTCGTGATTACTGGAGCTTTGTAAGTTCTGCAGTTGGGAAGTGTGACTTCTCCAACTTTGTTCTTCTTTTTCATGACTATTTAGCTATTCTGGGTTCCTTACAATTCCACTTAGGATCAACTTGTCAATTTCTGCCCCCACCCCGACCCAAAAAAGGCCAGCTTGGATTTTTATTGTGTTGACTTGGTCGATCAATTTGGAGATTACTGCCATCTTAACAGTATTCATTTTTCCAGTCCATGAACATGGCTATCATTATATTTATTTAGCTATTTAATTTTTTATGATGTTTTGTATTATAGTTCTTGGTGTACACATCTTATATTTCCTGAGCTAAATTTTATCCTCTTCGATGCTAGTGTAACTGCTTTGTTGATATTTGGAATGTTTATAGTTAGTATACAGAAATATAATGGACTTTTGTACAGTCATCCCTTGGTGTCCATGGGTGATTGGATCCAGGACCACCCCACCACCACCACCCATGGATACCAAAATCCTTGGATGCTAAACGTCCCTTATATAAAATGGTATAGTATCTGCATATAACCTACATACATCCTCCTGTGTACTTTACGTCATCTCTAGATTACTTATAATACCTAATACAATGTAGTTGCCTGTGTGGCAAATTCAAGTTTTGCTTTTTGGAAATTTCTGGGAATTTTGTTTTCCCTGAATATTTTTGATCCACTGTTGGTTGAAAACAACAGATGGGGAACCCACAAATACAGAGGGCTGACTGTATACTGATCTCAGCTGCAACTTCACTAAACCTGTTTATTAGTTCTAATGGTGTTTAGTGGATTCCTTAAGGTTTTCTGTATACAAGGTCATATCATCTGCAAATGGACCTGGTTTTATTTCTTCTTCTCCAATCTGGATGTCCTTTTTCTTGGTCTTGGCCTAGTTGCTTTGACTAGACTCTCTGTTACAATGTTAAATGCAAGTGGCAAGGTCAGACATCCCCATCTCACTGCTGATCCTGGGGGGAAGTCTTTGACTGTTCAGTATGATATTAGCTGTCTGCTTTTCATTGATGCCCTTTATCAGAGTTGAGGAAGTCTGCTTCAGCTTATTGAGGGTTTTTATATTGAAACGGTGTTAGATTTTGTCAAATGTTTCTTCTACATTTGAGATGATCATATGGTTATATTAATTTATTTTGGGATATCAAACCAATCTTGGGTCCCTCAGATAAATCCCACTTGTATGGTGGGATATAATGGTATATAAATATACACAGTGTATTACAACTCAGTTTTGATGGATTCAATTGGTTACTGTTTCGTTGAGGATTTTTGCATCTATATTCATAAGAGATATTGGTCTGAATGTTATCTTATGATATTTGTCACTTCCATATAGCTATATATTTACAATAAATGCATATTTTATAATCTGGAAAAAATATCATATGTTTAAAAACTAAGAATGAACTCTACCCCAAAACCTTTTTCCTATTGAATCTCAGGCTCAGATGAAGGACTACCAGCGTGAATTAGAAGAAGCTCGTGCATCCCGGGATGAGATTTTTGCTCAGTCCAAAGAGAGTGAAAAGAAACTGAAGAGTCTAGAAGCAGAAATCCTTCAATTGCAGGAGGTTTGTTTACTTATTCATCTATTTGTTCAACAAGTATTTGCCCGTAAAATTTTTCTAAGATCAAATAAGTATATTTTAGTATCTCTGTAGCCTAGTATAATTTCACTATCAATTTCTCATTGCTTCAGTTCAGCAAGCAAACTGGTCACACTTTGATACTGCTCTGCCTGGCAAAGACAGAGAAGTCAATTAGTAATTTCTTAAATCTAATTGCAGTTTGTGGCACATTTAAAATGCCTGGAGCAAGGTGGCAGTGGCCTAGAGGTGCTGCCAGATTTTACGTTTGAGGAAACTGTTAACAGCCAGAGCTTAAATCACAGTCTGAGCTTGTTTAGGAACTTGCCTCGTCTGAGCGAGCCCGCCGCCACGCCGAGCAAGAGAGGGATGAGCTGGCAGATGAGATCGCCAACAGCGCCTCTGGCAAGTGAGTCTCTGGCAGCGGGTGGGAAGGAGCGGGCGTCTCTAAACCAGCGGCGGCACCCCCCCACCCCCGGTCCTCTCGGGTGCCCGTGGCCCACCCCTGCGGGGCACGCCCACTACACCGAGCCGGCCGTGGTGGTCGTCTGGCATCTAGGAGTCGGCGTTTGGTCTGCTCATTTGTTCAAAGTCTGGGAAGATGAGCACGAGCTGCGGAGCTCCAGGGGGCCTGCGCCACCCAGGCAGGTCACACCTCCCAGGGTCAGTCACGCCCGCAGCAGGCATGAAATACACTCAGAACGCACCGGTTTCCATGGGGTGGACAGCCTTGCAGCGCAAGTCCTCACTTTCAAATTCACTAGATTTGACGAGGAGATTCCTTAGACTTACCTTCCTCTGAATGCATTTTTCATTAAAAGCCATTTTTTTCCCCTATTAAGAGGTTGCTTTCTCCATGTAATTACTGTACTGAGGATTCATCATGGTCATTTTCTAGCATGCCATGAGGAGGAGTTGGCATTTTATCTCAAGGCATTGGAAAACCAGTAGTTCAAGCCAGGGAATACCAGGATCTTTTTGCACTTTTATCGCTGACACTGGCTGCTGTCGTGGAGATGAGGCAGGACACGGTGGGTTGACGGGTGGGTGTAGGGGAAAGAGAAAAATCAAGAATGCTGCTCGGTTCCTAGCAGCAGGGTGGGCAGAAGTGCCCTCCGCAAGTTGCCCCATGTCATGCAGCCCGGTTTTGAGCTGTCTCCTCCCGGCCCCGGCAGGTCCGCGCTGCTGGATGAGAAGCGGCGTCTGGAGGCCCGAATCGCGCAGCTGGAGGAAGAGCTGGAGGAGGAGCAGAGCAACATGGAGCTGCTCAATGACCGCTTCCGCAAGACCACGCTGCAGGTGGGCGCGCGCCGGCGGCCCCGGAGCAGGGGGTGGGGGGCTGTGCACCCACCCCCACCCCCCAGCACCACTAACCCAACTCCGCTCCCCAGGTGGACACGCTGAACACAGAGCTGGCGGCCGAGCGCAGTGCCGCCCAGAAGAGCGACAACGCGCGCCAGCAGCTGGAGCGGCAGAACAAGGAGCTGAAGGCCAAGCTGCAGGAGCTGGAGGGCGCTGTCAAGTCCAAGTTCAAGGCTACCATCTCGGCCCTGGAAGCCAAGATTGGCCAGCTGGAGGAGCAGCTTGAGCAGGAAGCCAAGTAAGAGCTTTTTGCTGCCATAAACCAAAGAGAGGTTTTTACTGCATCTCTGCTACCAGACCAGGTCTGGGGCTCAACCTGTGAGTCAGAGATGACAAGGACACACGTAATCAGAGACTAGTTGGTGTGAGCCCTCAGGGAAGGCTGGACTCGCCTGTCCGCTTTTCCTGGACTCAGCTGAGGGCTATTCAGCTGTGCCTCATGATTTTCTGGTGCCACAGTTTACATCTACCCAAAGTCGATTACCCAAGTTGGTGGCATCACGTGAAATGCTGCAATTTGTTGGCAGAGAAAAATGCAATGTGACAAAAATAAAAGCTCTTCTGCTCCCATAGGAAGGGATTGCTTAACAATTTCCATTCTGTTGTAGTAAACCATTCTGAAATTTATGAGGACTTGCACAATGCAGTTTTTGGCAGGCATTACTAAGCTGTTAGAGTCGCGTCACAGACTACCAGAGCTATAGAGCCGACCTCCAGCTTCACCCTCTTGTTGGGGAGCTCGGGGCCCAGCAGTGACATCCTCCCAGCCCAGCACCCCGGACTTCCCACTGCACTCAAAACAACTAAGGGTTTGTTTGCTATTGGTTGTAATTAACATGGCTTGCCCTTTCTGCTGAGTCCATCACTGTCCACTTTTGCATAACATTTGTGATGGAGCAAGAGAACTTTTCTGTTTTCAATGGAGCGCTCCAGACAAGTTACCTTTCCATGTGGGAGAGTGGAGGCTAGTTTAGAAACATGGTGATTTGTTTGGCTCCTAACTAAAATGTGGGGGCTGGGGGGTGGTTCCGGTGTTAGCTGCTCTATCTCTAGCATCTTAGTAGGTTGTCAGTAAATTTTACATTGAAATGATCTCTTAATAAATTCTGTTTTGTTTTCCAGGCTAAAAAGTTAGGTGATTAGAGTAACCAACTAAGGATTTGCCTTCAAAAAGTCTACACTCAGTACAAGTGGCATTTGATCTTTGAAAAATCACTAAAGTGATTGATACCTGTGTGGGAAAATAGTACATTTTCTCTACCTGTCAATGTTAGAATACATTAAAGGCAATCTGTAGTTTGACCAGAAGGGAAAAGTTTCTGGGCCACATTGGTCATGATGATATTCTGGATACAGAAGTCCTGGAAAGCACTCAAACATGTATCATTTCCCAGAGAAAAAAAGACTTTCAAAAATGCGTTCCCCGTTCCGACTGTCACATCAAGAACCATGAGAACTAACTAACATCCTGGTGACTTTCGCAGGGAAAGAGCAGCCGCCAACAAACTAGTGCGTCGTACTGAGAAAAAGCTGAAGGAAATCTTCATGCAGGTTGAAGACGAGCGTCGACACGCGGACCAGTATAAAGAGCAGGTGAGGGACGGGACGGGCAGGATGAACGTGGCTTCCACCTTAGATGCTGTCGCCAGGAGACAGAGGCAGAACCAGCCAACCGTTACCATGTGACCAGATGAATTGGGAAGAGCTATTTGAATGTTTCAACAAGTCAACAAATCTTCCTTGTTCCTGCCAGGCGCTCCCGGGTGCTAGGGATACAGGGGTGATGAGGACACAGCCCGCCCCTCAAGCCCTGCCAAGTGCCCCCGAGACACAGAGGAGGGGTGGGCGAGAGCAGGTCCCAGGGCTGTAAGTGTGGGGTCTGAAATGAGTCTTAGTTATCATCTGCGTTTCCTCCACCAGTATGGACGCTTCATGAGCGCAAATTTCTACCTGTTTCACGCACTGTCATCTCTTGAATGCTTGACTAGTCCCTGGGCACAGTGGGCAGTTGCTGAATACTGGCTGGGAAGAGGAATGCATGTAGGACCTGAGTGGCCTTCCTCATCTGTGTCCAGGCACCTGTTTTCTCAGTATCAAGGGCCTGTTCTGCTAGGACTTCGGACTGTGGTCAGCTCTGCATCGGCTCCAGCCTCGAGGGCTGTGCATTCCTGCTGGCTTTCCTGAGACTTGCCGCCGGGGGTGGAGCTGAGGATCCACGCCTTTGGCCCAGACCACCCCCCTTCTCTCGCTTGCTCCAGTCAGATACCCAGCCTTCCTTACAACCCCCACACTCAGGGCCTAGCAACCCGAGGGCAGTTCTGGGTGGGCATGAGCTGGGCCTGAAGGACACTGGCCAGTCTCCGTATGGCTCAGGAGTGAGTGATCCGGGGGCAGGCTGAGTCCTCACGTCAGGTCTTCCAGAGTGGCTCTGTACTTGAATCAAAATATAATGTTGACATACCCATGTTGAAAGGAGGTGTTCAATGAATGTACCATCTCCTGGGGTTGGAGACCGTCCATGTGCATTTTGTGAGAACAGCAGTTCCCTTTCACCATCCCATAGGTCGCTCGTGCGAAGATTCTACGCTGTCATTTTTCCATAGAAAAATCAAGGCTGGAGATAGGGTTTTCAAGTTTTTTTTAAATATTTCCTTTAGCATAATTTGCTGTGTAGACACTGGCTTTGCTGAGAATGGCAGGCTGATGAGAAGGCCTCCATCCATCCAGGCCCCCGTCTGGGGAGTGCGTCAGTGCACACTCGTATGTACCTGCATGTGCTCACACGGCTGAGCTGGGCAGGGATCTGAGATCACACTCAGGACGCTGTGATGCCAAATTCGGATTCCCCAGTTTGGTGTGACTTGGTTCGTGTAACTCCCCCAGATGGAGAAGGCCAACGCCAGGATGAAGCAGCTCAAACGGCAGCTAGAGGAGGCAGAAGAAGAAGCCACACGTGCCAACGCGTCTCGGCGCAAACTCCAGCGGGAACTGGATGACGCCACCGAGGCCAACGAGGGCCTGAGCCGCGAGGTCAGCACCCTGAAGAACCGGCTGAGGTGAGTGAGCACGGAGGCCCGGAGCCTGCCGACAGCCACGTCTGTGGTTTCCTTAGGCCCACATACCGCTCCTGGTTCTTGCTCGTTCACCCACTCGGGATCTCTGACCATTAGTAGTCCTTGCGCAGAAGGGGGGGGCACTGGCTTTCACTGGTGGCTGTAGAAATACACGGTGCCAGGCTTGAGCACCTGGCCAGAGGTGTGCCATGTCCCTGTCCCTTCTGAGGAGGGGCCCCAGCCTCCAATCCTCCTCCCATCTCCCCACACTGGGTTTGACGTGCACCGGGGAGAGGGCGGAACACAGGGAGCCAAGGCTAAGCCTGCCCGGGCCCTGCTTTTGTACAGCCAGTGAGCTAAGAATGGTGCTGACGTTCATAAAGGTTGGAAGAAAACAAGACTGTGCAGTGGGGACCATAAGTGTCCCACAAAGCCTATGTAGAGAATTTAACCTCCACCCTTTTAGAGACAGGCCAGCCCGGGGTTAGCAGGTCAGAGCTTTGCTCCCTGTGTCGCCGGCGGCAGCAAGCCAAGTCCAGCCACCCCCCAGCTCTCCAGGAGCCTCCTGCTCGGTGCCACTGCCTCGGCCAGGGTAACGCTCCGCAGACGGGTAGCAGGGTTGGGGGGAAGCACAGACCTGTTCCTGATCGTCTGCACCCCAGCTGTGTGTCCTGAGGAAGGCGTGGAAGTTTTGAGTCATTAAGTGGTTGAGCAGCCGGCCCCGTGTTCTTGGGGATGAGCCCACACCTGCCCGCTTTGCTCTCTCCAGGCGAGGTGGCCCCATCAGCTTCTCCAGCCGATCCGGCCGGCGCCAGCTGCACATTGAGGGCGCGTCCCTGGAGCTGTCAGACGATGACACAGAAAGTAAGACCAGTGATGTCAACGAGACGCAGCCGCCCCCGTCAGAGTAGGTCCACGGAGGCCGGGGGAGGCACTACAGCGGGACACGCAGGAACTCACCCGGCGCCACTGCCTCGGGGCCTCCTGCGGATCCGGGGACCTGGCGGACGGCGGATTCCTTCCTGAGAGCAACTGTGTCTTAAGGCCTTGCCGCCCACATACTGTATCCTGCTTCAGACTTAGGTACAATTGCTCCCCTTTTGATATATATACGTACACTAAACATACACATAGTAAACAGATCGTCTCATCATTGCATCTATTTTCCACATATCCATCAAGAGACCATTTTCTAATACAAATTAAGAAAAGAACCTTTTTCAGATGAACTCCAGACCCGCTGCCAGTCGCTGGGTTGTGGGCAGCCCCGCGGTTGCTGCCCAGTCGCTCTGCATGCTCTGTCGTCCGGACAGCTACCTTAGTTCTGTGTTCACGTGGCCCCTGCCGCCACGTCAGCCACATCGAGTCTCTTAGAACATTGTGGAACCTAAACTGCACTTGCAGCTCTCATCTCCTTCAGATAAAGATCAACACTATTTCGGTGAGCAAACTGTGAAAGGGGCTTGGAGAGACTGGCGTGGGGGGTGGATCGGGGGAAGCTGCATCCGTCTCCCTCAAGTTGCGGTGTTCCCGAATCTCTTCACGTAAACTGTCCTTGGCCAGGGCCGGTCTGTGCATAGAAAGGACAGTGGCCGCGATGCCGCTGGGGCGGCGGGGCGTAGCTGTCACCTTGACTTCTGAATGGCCTCCTGAGGCTGCTTCCGGAGTGAGCAGCTACTGCGGGCACCCTCCCCCCACCCCCCGCCGCCGAAGTCAGGGGTAGCCTCCCTCCCAGCCAGGCTCTCATGCTGACCTTGCAAATTCAGCCGCTGCTTTGAGCCCAAAATGGGAATATTGGTTTTGTGTCCGAGACTTGTTCCACGTTTGTCGGCGAGGTTGACAGAACCTCGAGAACAGGTGCCACCTGCCTGAATGTTGAGATGCCAGTGGGTGTGACTCCTTCATTTCTCCTTTCTCTCCCCTTGGGACAGTGTTACAGTGAACATTTAGCATTCTGTTTTGGGTTGGTAGTTAATCAAACTGACATTACAGAAAGTGCCTTAGACACTACAGTACTAAGACAATGTTAAATATATTATTTGCCTCTGTAACAATTTAATGTATTAAGTTTTGACTGTGCTTCATATCATGTACCTCTCTAGTCCAAGTGGTATTACAAACATTCAGTGACAATGAATCAGTGTTAATTATAAATCCTTGATCCTCTGCAACGTGCTTGAAAACACAAACCTTTTGGGTTAAAAGCTTTAACATCTGTTAGGAAGAATTTGTCATGTGGGTTTGGAATCTTTGATTTTCCCCCTTTATGAATTGTACTGGCTGTTGACCACCAGACACCTGACTGCAAATATCTTTTCTTGTATTCCCATATTTCTAGACAATGATTTTTGTAAGACAATAAATTTATTCATTATAGATATTTACGCCTGCTCTGTTTACTTGGAGGAAAAAGCACCCGTTGAGAATAAACAGACCTCAATAAACAAGAATAATCATGTGAACGTGAAATCTGTTTTCTCACCTTCTGTTCTTGATTTCCTACCTGTGATCTGATCGGAGGTTGGATGCTACATAGACATAAAATGCTGACAGCCAGGCCTGCTTTTCCTGAGGGCACCGCGTGCCCAGAAACTGTCAGGTGACGGGCTACTGCTTTGGACAGTCTCGGCTACAGGTGCCTCAACACGCAGCTGCATCCGGCAGGAAAGGGCCACTGGGGCTGGAGACCCAACTGTTAATGGAGAAGGAGCCATCCAGGGTGCAGGACAAAGCCGTGAGGGTTTCAGTCACCAACAAATGAAGCTCATCCCTGGGTTAGAGTATTTTAAGAGGTCCAAAAAGCTGCAGGTTACATTTACAGGCAGGATGCACACTGAAAATGCTTCGGGAGGACTCAGTGGTGAGCTCCAAGGGCAGCTGCAGGCTGGTGAGGATGGGCCGGAGGGAAATCCGAGGGGTACGCACACACACAGAGAAGGCTGGGGGTGTTCCAGGATGGGCACAGATGCTCCCTTCCCTCTGTGTCACGACCACGGGAGGAAAAGGGTGAGTTGCACTTACCGGGTCTTGTGTGTTCTCACCCTTGCATTCAGTATCTTGATCCAGAGGTTTGTGGAAGTCAGAGGCTTGTTTTTCTCAAAAAGAACCCTTCCCTGCTGGGGAAGGAAGCGGGGGCTCCCTGCCCTGCCGGGTGACCGAGCAGAGTCATCCTTGGGGGAATTAAGAACTGCAGGTTCCCCCCGATTCCATCCCAGCACTGGCCTAGTGAGGCGAGTGCTGTACTTCCTAGAATCTTCATAGTTCTAATTGGCACATTTTTAATGGTTTACATAATAAAGGTTTAACCGGTGTTAATGTCAGTTTCCCAACTACTCCGCCTATCAGGAGAAACAGTCCAATTCCTGATTCCACAAAGATGCTAACTAGAAGGGACCGTTCTTCACTAAACAAGCCACCACCTCGTGGTCTAAGTGGTCTGTAAAGCCTCAGCTGGACATTTAAAGCAGGACAGCAAGTGGGAGCTGGGGTCTGAGCACACGTGTCAGACTCAAAGCAGCTGGCCAGCTCCCACCCCGCAGGAGTGGGGGCCATCGTGGGGAGGGGTTCAGGCAAGACAGGTTTTAACTCAGAGCCGTCACACACACCAAGTGCTCTGCCCGCCCCTGCCACAGGGCTGCTGCTCTTTTCAGTGCAGACATTCTAAAGAATTCTTTAAAATTCCTTTGGTAGGGATAACACCTATTTCCAGCTTGACTGTCCTGGGTATTCTGACACATTTCCTTTCTGTCACCACCTTCCCCATCCCTGGAAGCCCCAACTAAGGCAAAATGAGCCGGAAGGCCAAATTCTTAAAACCAGCCTTCCCCATGGCTCTGAGTACAACTGCCCCACGGCTCCTTCCCCCTTCAGGAATGTTGCCGATGTTGCTGTAACAACCAGGTCTGTGTCAAGACTGGGGAAGAAAAGAGCTGACAGTTGTCAGACTCAAGGAACCACACCACTTCCTGCCCTACTCCCTTAGAAAAAAAAATCCAGTCACAACAGGCCATAGGTTGGAGTCTAGGAGGTGGAGAGGATGGCTCCCCTCCGCCTCGTTCAGGCAGGTCTGAGCGAAGCCTGTGGCTGAGACCAGAGGGGAGTCCCCATCTACAAGGGCTGCCCAGTCACTCCGGAAGGGACACCACCTGCACCAAGCGCTGTCCCAAGCCCTGAGCGTTTGCTAGGACGCTGTGTCCCGGGCCAGCTGTCAGGACCGGCCAGGCAGTCCACTTCCTCGTGTAGCCACCTGTCGTTTGGGAATCTAGCAAATTATGTGAAGTATCTCATACAATTCTTGTCAGAAATCACATGAAACTACTGGTAAGGGTATGCCGACGCGATGATGCCAGTTTCCAAGGACGACGCTACCTGTCCCCGCAGGGCCTGTGCACCATATGCAGAAAGCGTGACCACCCTTCAACCCTTACCGAGACCACAAATTCGGTTGTGACGCATTACAGCAGTGAGGCCTGTTTATTTTTTCAAAGTAACCCAATAACGGACTCCATCCCCACTAACTGGATGTCACGACGCCTTATTCAAGACGTAACGTGACATAAGCAGACTACTAAACACCAGGTCTGACTGACACCCAAGCAGAGCACTGCCTCCTTCAAAGGACCACACCGCACAGAGGCTAAGATGCCCCTGTTCTCAAGTGTAAACGCGTGCGCCTCACAATCACCGTCGGGAGGTGGCAGCTGTGATGTGGTCCTCACTGCCTGACTCCTGGTAAGGGCAGCAGAGCCCAGCGCCAGAGCCTGTAGAACCGGTACCAGCAGCTTAGAAGGAATTCCGGAGCCAACCGCGGAATACGCGATTCAGACGCGCCGCGTCGCCCGTGCTCAGCGCGGCGCAGGGGCGACGTAGGGAAACACGGACAAGGACCACTCTGGGTCAAAGCGCGGTTCAGAATGTCAAAATCACAACGTGAAGTTTCAGGGCTCTCTCACACTCCTTTTTGTATATGAATTAAGTGTGATATGAAACTCTGTATAAAGTCTAGAAGAACTAATAAAGTCTTAAATAAGCGTTCTCATAGTTTTAATTGGCACGTTTTTAATGGTTTACACAGTAAAGGTGTGTTTAATAATTGCTGGTGTTTAAGATTCTAGGAAGTACAGCACTCGCCTCACTAGGCCAGTGCTGGGATAGAATCGGGGGGAGTCTGCAGTTCTTAATCCCCCCAAGGATGACTCGGGTGACCCGGCAGGGCAGGGAGCCCCGCTTCGTGCTACTGTCCCACCCCGCCACCAGCAGACCTTCCATCAGTGCTGCTGAGGCTGTGAGTTCCACCACCGTGGGGCAGCATCCCCAAAGTGAAGCATGCTGTATCACTGTTACCACATTGCTTATCACACTTAGACTGATTCAAGACTGACAGGATACTTCAGTGACACCAATATGTGTAAGTGTACCTAGTCCCCTAAATTCTAGGTGACGGTAGGATTTGCTGGTGGGTGTTGGGGGGGGCAGTTAAAACAATCACTTTTTCTTTTCTTTTCTTTTTTTTAACCAAAAATCAGTTTTTCACAGCTTCATCTACTGACAGGGAACAGAGCCTCACAGAGATAACCGTTTATCCACGTGTGTCCCAGAAAACCTCTGGCCCAGTCCTGCCAGCCCAGCCCCTCTCCTGGGCCTCTCCCGGCAAATCATGACCCAGGCAGGATCTCTATTTTAACTGGGGTACCAAACTTGATACCTGGTTAGAAAACACCCCACAGGTAAACAAGTGAAACTTCTGCTCAGCTTCCCTTGGTGAAGACTTCGGAGCTGGCAGGGAATGCTAACAACTCCTGCGGGTAGAGACGGACAGCATGATAAAACAAGACTCCACATCATAGCCTCACGGGGTACAAGCCCCGCCCGGTCCCCCCGCACCAGCTCTGTAAGCTTAGTTCTATTTTCAAACTTGCCTCTTCACGTGTGCTGTCTTATAAAGGACATATGTCACACTAATATTTACTGGAGATGATTGTTTTTCATTAAAATTTAAAAAGGGCCACTGTATTTCCATGTATCATATTTTTAACAGTCATGGGACCAGTTTTTAGGTAAGATGCTCTAACTCATAGGAAGATGATTTACAAAGATGTCTTCTGCCCCCAGTCCCACTTTTAGGAAAGACTCAAATAATACAGCTGTATTTTTAAGGCAGCTAATGTTCTCAATTTGTTTCAACCTTTGGGGCAAATAAAGAGAAAAACCACCTGTGAAGTGAAAGTCAGAATGTAGAAAAGGCTTATCTTAGCACTTTCTAGGCAAACCGTGCAAACAATTGACAGCCTGGACCCCTCCTTCTTTCAGGCCTTGTTTCCACCAGAGGCCCGGCCAGCTCTTCTCAGTTGCAGCCAAGCAGGAGGCATCTGGCTGCTCCCTAAAGCCACTGCTCCACCCCAAGTCACATCCCCTTCCCCAGAGGTGCCAGCTTCCACCTGGGCTCTCAGGAGATGCTAACGGCGTCTCCAGGACAGCTTTGGAGAGAAGCGGAGTCAATACACTGACCAGGCACAGCGCTGGACAAGCCACAGTCCTCCTGCTGCAAAGGCTGTGCAGCCAGCACCCTCACCACTTCCCATCGTTCAAAATCAGCTCACCTCCTGAGGCATGAGACAGAGGCAAGGCCGGCGAGGCCTGGAGTTTGGGAAGGTGGTGAGGACAGCAGAAAATAACACTGAGCTCCTTTCCTAACCTGGCTTTTCCATGAACCAGCCGTGTGAGCTCCCGCCAGGCATCTCGACTCCGGGCCCACATTCCCTTCTGCTAACCGCGGCAAAACCAGCCCACCCCACTCTCGGGTCAAGGTCACCTCACCTAGTCCTCACACACCTCACTTGTGGTTCAACATCCCCGCTGTGGCTTCCAGCTCTTCCTGGGGGCGGGGGGCATGGCTTCTGGCCACTAGGCTGACAGCAAGGGGAGCACTGGCTCCTTCTTACTTACGCAGGACCTTGCAGGAACAAGGGATGGGTAGGGTGGTGAGATGAAAACACCTGGAGACAAGCTGTCCTTCGCCACCTGGAGGTCAGCCCCCTCCACGCAGGGGAGACCACTATGTGGACCCAGATCAGGGGTGGCTCATGCCTGAAGGTTTCAGTGAGAGCCGGGCAAACCTGGCAGTCGTGCAGCCTGTGGACAGGAACCCACTCAGAGGCAGGTGCCTAAGAGAGGATCTTTAGCTGGACAGGCAAACTGTACACATTACCTGTCAAGCCAGGTAGCAAACAGCCTATCTGCACAAGGACAAAGCAGCATCTTAAACCAGATACAGACGGTCACCGACTTAACGATGGTTTGACTTACGTTTTTTTGACTTTACCATGGTGCAAAAGTGATACACATTCAATAGAAACCATACTTTGAATTTTAAGTTTTAATCTTTTCCCAGGCTAGCAATAGGCGGTACAGTCCCCCTCAGCGCTGGGCAGGGCGGCTCCGGGTTGGCCATGCGACCACGAGGGTCAACAACCAATACACTGACAGCTGTTCTGCACCCAGATGACCATTCTGCTCTCCACCTTCAGTCCAGTATTCAATCCACTACATGAGACAGTCAACACTTTTTTTATCAAACAGGCTTTGGTGGGAGATGATTTTGCCCAACTGTAGACAAATGGAAGCATTCCCAGCACGTTTAAGGTAGGCGAGGCTAAGCTGTGATGTTCAACAGGTTAGGTGTAACAAACGCATTTTCAATTTAAGGTATTTGCAATTTACAATGAATGAGTTTATCAGGGCGTAATCCCATAGTAAGCAGAGGAAGCTCTGTAATCCACACAGAAAGCTCAGAGAGGCCGGAAGGAGTCAACCAGCTTCCTCACAGGGTCTGCTGCAGCTATAAAAAAACAAAAATACGTGGGCGTCTCCTCCCAAAGTAAACCCAGCAGCAGACTGCTGCACTTTCACAGACCTGGCCCGGCTCTCCCGGACCCAGAGCAGTCAGCACAGCCAGTGAATAACATGTGGGGCCCTGCATCCAGGGCCCCTCTCCCACTGGGAAGCCACGGACAAGCATTCAAGCTCCAGAACTCATCCTTGCTGTAACTAGAGGAGCTCAGCTTGCTACGTTTTTGATTTGGGGTACCTGCATAAACAAAGAGGTCTGCTGAAAGCTGAAACCCCTGATCTAATCCAGTCCTTCACCGCTGGCTGGGAAAGCAGCTGGGGGACGCTGCCCATCAGTACGACACCTGGAGTTTTCAGCTGCTCAGCCAGCACAACTGGGGCACACACACACCACTGCAAGCGACTCTCTGAGTCAGCTTATGACAAAGTCTCCAGGAACAACTAATAAAGATATTCCTGCACACATATTAACTGACAAGAAAAACTTTTCAATGTATCCTGCTTCATGTTTCTTATTCACTTAGGAACTGGAGTCACTTTTCATTTACATATAGTTTTAAAACTACAAACTACTCCGTTTATGCTTTGTCATAAGCAATGTTCAGAATATGACATATTCATAGAGACCCCCAGTTTACTTGTTCCCCAAGCCCAGTCACCCTGGGTCTTGCTACCCAACATCTAGCACCTTCTCAGCATCAACCTGAGGGATGAGGAGAGAAGCCCAGGACCGAGGAGCCCCCTAATCCCTGAGCCCCAGCACGTGCCATGAAAAGCAGCCCCGCTGGAGGGCCAGCTCCCAGACCCACCAGTCACCCTGTGACTTGGCAAGCTGCCTCCCTTAAGTTCATGTCCCTCCTCTTAGATTTCTGCATTGGGCTGGGGCCATTCTCGGGCTGCTCCTGGAAATCACAGCAGAAATCAGCACTAAGAGAAATAAATAAGCTACAAGAATGTACCATACAACACAGGGAATACAGCCAGGATTTTGTGGTAACTGTTAATGGAATATAACCTTTAAAAATTGTGACTCACTACATTGTGTACCTATATGTTATACTGTACAAAAAATAAATAAATACAAATGATCAGCATGAGAATGCCCACTGGTGCCCTGGACATCTCCTAAGGCCACCTGACTCTCCTCTGCCCTGCTCCACAGCTGCTGTCCATCCATCCGCATGTCCCACGTCAGCGCAGAAGTGACATCCAAACCCGGCTTTGCAACTCCAGCTCTTCTCTTACAGGATGGCAGAGACCCAATAAGGCAACCTCAATCTTTTTTTTTTTCTGTGAAATTTATTGTTTCCACATTAAAAGATTTTTTTGAGGGGAAGTATTTTTTAACCACATGATGACCCTATACAGCTGCCCAGAGGAGGGCACCATCGTAAGTCATTAACATGCCACGTGAGTTCTGAATAAATAAAAGCTACAAAGCCCAAGTTATATACAAATACCTCAGGCGATAATGTTTACAAACCTATGTACACTAAAACAAATGTAAACAGTAAACGCAGCATGAGTAATCAAAGGATGCACAGGGCCAACCACTTCCAGTCAGTCTGCCCCCAGGAGCCGCAACGGCCGCCCCTGGAACCAGGCCGTTCAACCCTCCCTGACACAACGGGACAGGCCCTCAGAAGACAAAACGAGATGCTCTGAAGATGTCAATGAACTGAAGGACCAGAGAGCCGGCGAGGCGGCTGCCACCACCCCAACCCCGAGTCTGAGGCGCATGAGGAAGAGGAGACAGCAGGGAAACGGCCCCGTGTGCCCCGGTCCCGGAAGCTCCTGCTCTCTGGGGCTCAGACAGGCATCTGCTGCTCTGGGAGGCAAGTCTATGGAATGATAACCACTAAAGTAAAATCAGAAGGTGCAGAAAATGTTCCCTAATTCAGTGACCTTCTTGACTCTGCCAGTAACAGGCCCAGACTGTGAGTGGTAGAGGAGGGGGACACATGATCATGAGCACTGGAGATGCCTGGGTGGGGGCTCGGGGGAGGGCACATGTCGACCTGATTTGGGGGAGAGCTGCTAGAAGATCTGCAATGTCCTAAACACAACTACTCCTATCCGCACAGCGGGGCGGGGCTATGAGGCGTGATGAATGGGTATTTCTGCATCCAGTGACCAAGTAATACACGGACGTATCACCTCGTGACCCACAAAAGTGCAATCATGTGAAACCAACGGCACTACGGCGAGAAGAGAAAATAGCCAGTATTGATATCGCGCAGAGTCCTGGGGCTGGGCGGGGCCCAGCAGCCGCCACTGCATGCAGCCTGCCCTCTGCCGGCCGCGGGGAGGCGGGTGGAGGGGCACGAGCCGGGCCCAGGCACCGAGGGGTGAGGCGTGGGTGTCCTGGGCAGCTGGAGGAGGGCGGGAGCCCCCGCCTGGAGGCCGGGCACTCACACACTGAGAGGCAGCATACCCGGGGCCGACGACGGGCGCGAGGAGCCCAGACCAGGTGGAGGAGGAGCCGGGTCAAAGCCGTTTACTGCCCTGTGGGGTGACCAGAGCAGAGAAGGGGAGGGAAGGGGAAGAGAAAGAGAGACTGTCATTTAAAATCACTTGACACACAGAGAAATTCCTCTGCTCTCTAACACTATTTCCCGGCCCACAGCAGAACCCTGACCGCCAAAGCAGCAGCCGGCTAGAGGACTGAGGACTGCGTGCGTGTGGGAGAGGAGACTGTGTGCTCCCTTCTCGGCAACTTCATCACACCGGCGTGGAGGCCAACAGCACTCGTCTAAGTGTCTGCCAACAGGGAGTGAGCTAAATAAATACGGGTATGGTCAAACAATGAAATATTATATGACCATTCAAACACATTCCACAGAGTTCTTTGGCAGCATGGAAAATATTCAGACTGTGATCGGTGCTAGGTAGAAAAAGCAGCAAGTAACCGAAGTAGGTTTAATGACATGAAGAAAAAAGGTAAGGAGCATATATTCTAGACTCTTACCTATAACTAGACATTACTATCTACGTAGCTAAATCTAGAATGTGCGAGAACACAGGCAGGCAGACGAACACACACACACACAATCACATACATTATAGAAAGAAAATTTAACAATAGTTACTTTTCTTCCCTTTGAGTTGTGGGTAAATTTTATCTACTACTTTATACTTCTTAATTTTATTCCAAATTTCCTACAATGTACATGAGTATCTTAATAAGGGGGAGAAAAATAACCTTTTTAAATTGTTTAGCAAGCAAAGCCAGATGGGGAGGCTTCTCGCAGACTTGTGAGACACCAGCCCCATCCAGCACAAGAGCCTGCAGCCAGGCCCCCAGCACCCAGGCGGAGAGCAGCACCCCGCCCCAGCCACCAGGCAGCACAGCCACAGGAAGCAGTGAGGGGGTGAGCGCAAGGCCTGGAGCCTCTCTCAGGAGCCACTGCAGCCCTACCATACTGAAAACGTCCCTAGGAAAATGTGTCCCACTAAAATCTGGGAGATGCAGCCAACAGCCCTACACACGCCCACCAGTGTCCCCACCAGCCTACTCATCAGAGGGGCCCAGGAAGCTGAATATAGACTCGTGGAGAGAGGTTCTCTTAAAAAAAAAAACAAAAAAAAAACGCAGACACAGTACCCATCAAGCTGACGGCGTCCCACACTGACGAGGAGAGGGTAACCTCACAGAGAAACAGGCACACAGAGAGACCTGACAAGTGGCCGGTGACTGCTGTGATGGAACAAAGTTAACATCTGAAGAAGCTAAGCTCAGAGAATAGGTTCGGGGTGGAAGTCAAGCTACCCACAGAGGCCAAGAGCGACAGGCGGGGCTCTGACAAATGCAGCGTCTGCCTGTTGGACATTCTCCCACCGCAGTGATGCACAAGCAGGACTTTCCCTTTTCTCCTTGGAGGTCTGACATTGAGCCGCATCACATTATGAAAACTTTACATCATCCTCCCCGTCCTGCCAGTGCTATGGGCCTGTGCCTCTTCTGCGGGCAGGGGCCACACCCTATATGCCACTGGAGCCCCCGCATAATAAGTCCATCTGTCATCTGTCTGGCTGGTCCCAGAGCCCCGATCCTGCTCCTCCCAGAACCTCAGGGAGAACCAGGCAGGCCTCACAAACAGCTTCAGCTGGAAACGTGAACATCAGATTACCAGCCTCACAAAGCAGGGCAGCAGGCAGCGCAAGTTGTAACTACAGACCGTCCCCGAAACTCAGCAGAAAGGGAGCACTGCTGAGTGTCAAGAACTTGGCACATGTTCCAAGGGGCGTGCAAAAGAAGCAAACGTGAGGATGGCTCCATAGGCAAGGTTTAGGGCTGAGATTCCCGAATTTTTAAGCTTAGATGGACATTTAAGGAGTGTCACGTTCCTCCTCATCGTTGTAACACTAAGGAAACAAAAGCAAGAGAAGGTCCCGCCATTCACCTGAGCTCACCCCATGAGCCTGTCAATGGGGAAGCTGGGCCCACAACTGCCCCCAGATGCCCAGGCCATTATCCTCCCCGTCTCCTCCTGCCCAAGGACACCTGACAGGCTCCAGTGAGCAACCACTCTGGTGCTCGCAACGCAAGTCAGCTCTAATGGGGAAAATAAGCAGTGCAATCCAGAACACAAAGGGAAAGAAGAAACCAGGTAAGTAAGTTCTCTGTGTGGATGGAAATGGAATTCTTGATGTGAAAGCTGGGTGGAGGAGAGAGAAAACAATCCAGCGGGTGTCACCTAGCACCTCTCTCTGAGCCAAGAAGTAGGAAGTAAAGGACCAGGAGGAAGGAGGAAGCTGACCCCACAGGTCAGCTGTCAGTGTGGGGAGGCCCCTCCCAGGCCTGCAAAGCTGCACAATGAGGGAAGGTTTCCAAGGGAAGAAACACCTCCATACTCAGCCCATCTGGTCTCAGGGAGCAGCAAAAGAGCCAAACGGAAACGTCCCAGTGAACAACACAGGACCGAGAGGAGAAAGAACGGGCCGGGGTGGAGATACAGACCTGGGAACCATCTAGGTAAAAAAGGTTCCAGAAGCCATGAAATTTCATGATCTTACCACCAAAATTTAGTTAAAGAGTCTGAAAGACAGAGACTCCAGCTCAGACAAGGAACTAAGTCAGCTGTAAATGGCAAAAAGCAAAGTGAGAGAGGGGAAGAACCAACGCACGTTTAGGAGCCGGTCAGGCAACAGAGATAAAGCTTGGGGACGGACTGAATCTGACAAAGCAGCAAGGACAGGGACACCCGGGAGGGCAGTAAAGAAAAGGAGGAGTGGGCTAGAGCTAACTCAGGAGAGCAGGGACACTCCAGACCCCAGTCCCCCTGGTCAGATGGATGAATGGAAGCTCGGCACAGCTCGTCCTCAGCCCAGGCTCTGCACACTGAAACGTGCGCTCCCCAAAAGTAAGGTGGACCTTAAGCCCCTGCCCCCCACAACCACCCCGACGTGCTGTGGGGAGACAAGCCTGAGGGTGGGGAGAGAGCCCCACAGCAAGAATCCATCATCATTAGCGCCGCTTCGAGAGAGGGGACACTGGGAGACTGAAGAACGCCAGGCCCATGGAGGCAGTCTGGTGTGGTCCCAGGGCTGGCAGTGACCCCCGACCCCGCCCCCGGACTGTGGCGTCACCCCAACAGTGCCCTCCCAGTGTCGGGAAGACCACTGAGCCTGCTCCTCACAACCACCAGGCCCATTACTCCTAGATCGCTTTTGTTTTGCACCAGCTGAACCAATAATGGTTTACAGTCCAACCCAACAGGAACTGGACAGCTCACTCACGGGCTGCAAGCTGATTAAAGCAGAGTCAGCCCCATGCAGTTAGTAAAAACCAGTTTGTCAGTGTTAATGTGTCTTCCACCACGCACCATGATTAAGAATAAAAGAGCACAGCAAACAAGTTCAGTTACCCATGAACAACGTGGGAAATATGACTTTTTCTTGCCTAATAAAAAAAAAGGAAAAAACATTAAACAGTGATAATGCAAATACTATTTTCACACCATGCCCTAAAATTAGTTTACACTCCCCTACACACAGCCCAAAAGCAAGCAGACTGGCTTACAAAATTAGGGCAAATGACACAGGAAACTAAATAAAAGCTATGGGGGGAAGAGAACGTTTTGAGAACTCAAGTAGGCTGCACTACGTGTGAGCTGGTATCTCTGGGGAGGAGAGACATGAAGGCTGAGCAGGGGCTGGAGGAAACGGAGCAACAGCTGGGAAGCAGGCCCAGCACCCCACACTTCAGCAACCGGTGAAGCGATCACCACGAGATAAAACCCTGATTCCAAGAAGCCCTCACATAACCAGAACTTATAAAATATTCTCAAATCCCACAGAGCAACATACAACAATTAGGATTTATGTCTCTGTGGCTATTCTGAGGGAGGCAGGGGTCAGCGTGCACACACACATGCACACACACGCTGACAACTCTGACGATCTCTCCCCACCACGCTCCTGCAGGTTTCTAGAGGCACCGGGAAAAGCACCGAAACCGCCAGACTCCTCGGCGGCGGGGGCAGGGCAGGCAGGCTCTAGAGCCAGAGGGTGTTTCTAAATGGAAAGCTTTTTCTCATACTGAGACTACAAGATACACTTTGACGCTTCTGGAAGAACTGGCATTTCTTCTTTTAACCTGCCAGGTTTAATAATGGAGCTGGGAGCTGGGACATTTCCCTCCTTCCCTCTGCAGCAGGTATATCCCATCATGGTTTTCATCTAGTCACTAGGTCAGCAGGAAGAAAGGCCAGAGGGAAAAGGCAAGGCGGGCCAGAAGGAAGCCAGAATCAAAGCAAAGCAGCAAGGAAGTAGGAGCAACGGCAAAACCCACAGGAGCCACCCTCAGGCACACGGCAACGAGACAAACGTAACTCAAGCAGTAACAGGTTAATACGCGAGTGCGCGTATATAATCCATTTACATACAAATTAAATACTTGAGAAAAGGGCAGCCCACAAAAAAACATTTAGCTCTTAACAGAAACAGTACAATTAAAAATGTGCACTACTTAAACCAAAACTAAGTATCATCTGTAACTGCTTCTATCAAGGAGCGTACTTCCAGACTCAGTTCAGGACATGAAGCCTGGATGCTCCCCAGAGGACAGGGGCCCCGGCAGTTACAGCAAATCCTCCGCATCTACCTAAGACTGGGCTCATCTCTGGGCGATCACGGCCCTGGTGCTCTGCATCAGGGTCGACTGGAAGCCAGGCTCTGAGGAAGACAGGACAGCAAGCCTAAACTAATGTTATCCCTCCACCATGACTGTTTTAAGGACTTTTTTTTTGCAAAGGCATCTGCCGCACCAATCCATTCACGGTTTGCCTGTTCTCACGTCATAAGGTGCCCAATAATAGACTAATAACTACTCTGTTGGAGGGAATTAAAGGTTGCAGGCAAAAATAATTAGATACTACTTCCAACCCTCATGAAGACTAGCCTTAAACTGTCCGTGTATTGGTTGGGGAAATGGTATCTCTCTGTAAAAATACCTATCTACTTACTCCACTTACCATGGTGGTATAAAAACAGCCCCCTCAAGGTTGCCCGAAGCTCCTAAGCCTGCGGAATACTCCTTTCATTCTCACAGCCACTGAGGAGCCCCAATGGTTAGAATAAAACTCTGGTTTATATATTGATATTCTAGAACGTGCTTTCAAAAATGAAATGTGCATGAAGTCTTGATTTATGTATCAGTTTAGAATGTGCTCCTTAATGAAGTATACTTCGAGGTAGAATTTTAAGGGAGACAGAGAAACCACTCCACTTGCATAAGGATGAACAACAGAAACCTTTTTAGAGTGGACTGTGTACCAAATCAGGCACATAAATGTACCAAGTCCCCCACAAATGCACCAGTCATTGAGGAAAGCAGAAGAGACAAGCACCTTCAAGAAATTGTGAACATCTCTATATTCCTTTCGCAGACTCAAAGCAGAGACAGCAGCAAGGGATCATGGTGTCACGGCTGCTGCTCCACTAACAGCTACCTGAAGTCACGTGGTCAGCATCCCAGCCCACAGGTCCTAACTGGTACCTACATTAAGGCACACTTGTACAAGAGTGTAACTAGGAAGCTTTTTTTTTTAATTGAGGTGGAACAATATGAACTGACACAAAGATACTAGCAATACAGTCACAATGGGCGTGTTGCAGCACAGTACTTAAAGCATCCCATAAGTTTATTAAAGTATATGGTAGATGCGTAAAATATGATTTGTCCTAACTAGGAACAACTGTAAGGTTGCAAAAATAGTGTGAAAACAGAAAACATTTACTTCTTACTTTATATACTCTGTACCAACTGAAATACTTTTTGCATTAATAAAGGATGTACCACGGCTGTAATTTTATGACAATTTTTTTACATTCTCAATTACCAAAAAAAATCTTCATATCATACAAAACTTGTGTCTCCTAAACTGTACTTGACCCAGTGGTCCTATATTTTTCTACAATGTCCAGGCAGAGGTCTGGGGAAGAGTCTACATATACGTGATCATCGTGTTCTCTTCTACCCTTAGCAAACATTCACCAAGAAAGTCTACTAGCCCGCAAGCACCGTGAGCCCAAGGTCTGTACCACAGTCATCTTTAACCCCCAGGGCCTAGCACAGTTGCCTTTCAAGACTCTGCTTCCCAGGACAGATGCTTCAGAGTCAGGGCACCCGGAGCAACAGACTCCACGGGGACTAGCAGACAACAACAGATTTCCCATCCCCGGAGAGCTGAATGATAACGCCTCAGGTGGGTTTATCACACTGAGTTGATATTTTCAAAGCTCAATAAGCTCACTTAATAATGTGCAACTTTACTGCCCAAAAAAACTAAACTCAGAACTTTCAAGACTTACCCTTTGTCGAAGAAAGATGTGTGCCCTGATCGAGAGAACTTCGTGCTGTTGCTATTCATCACCCCACAGTTAACGTTCCCTGAAATATAGGATTTTCGTGATGCTTGGTCCTTTGCAAAATTCCTGCAAGCTGCTAATTTGGATTCTAAAGCCTATGAAAGGAAGAAGGAATGATTTGGTTGTCAAAACAGTAGCTGCACATAAAAATTTGCATTTCAAACCATTTCTATTTCAAGACTCAAACCTTAATCTCTTGGCTGATAATGGTGGCAATTTAAGCCGTATCAACACCTATCTAATAGAAAGAGGCAATATATATGCTGGCTCCCTTTCTAATGAGCTCAGTATACTTATTTCTCTCCGTATTACTGACGGATACAGATATAACCCTCACTGTACAACTAAGGAAAAGGGGGCACAGTAGACAGAGGTGGATCCTGGGTCTCTTGGCCCCATCCACTGCTTCTTTCTGAGTTGGGGACTGTTTGTCTGTTGGCTAGTTGGAGGGTGTGTGTGTGTTTGGGGAGTGAGCATTATAAAGAATGCAAAAGCATCTGTAAAATAGTTGAGAATTTTTTTTAAAGCAGCCAATTTTTTCTTCAGGGCTTCAGGTTGGTTGTTTCACTGTATCAGGGTGGGTAAGTGCACATACAGCACCTCACGTGAAGTGAAATGCTACTCCATTTCTGACAGCACACTGTAAAAATCCAATACCCTTTGTCTATAATTAAATAATTCGCCTGAAAATGACACCAGCCCTTTAGCATGTACCTCCAGAGTGCCTGCTCAGCACCTGTCACCACAACACCTGGCCTGTGCCAGGCTCTACAGACCGTTGGCATGAAGAGAACAGAAGTTTCCCACTGAGTTCCAACAAACACAAGTATCACCAACACCCCCCACCCTTCCCACACATTTTACCAAGTCAAACCCTCTCCCAGAAAAAAAACGGAGGGGATATAATCCATGGCCCAGAAAAAAGACAAAAAATAGTCCACTCCTATTATCCATGATGCTAAGGGATTGGGGAATACATAGACAAATCCACAGATAATATACTCCACGCTGAGAATCCTCCCCCCACAATTTCAATAAGAGCTGTTAAGAAACAGCAACAAAAAGAGACGGAAACTTCTCTTCTCCTTTCTTAGCAGCACCAGGACCTAGTAAAACAACAACAGAAAGAAGGAAGAGCGGTAGTGACCTCGTAGGATAAGCTCTTAACAAGCCTTTCGTCAGCATCTTACTACAGAGACACATACTCAGTAAAAACTGAGAGCCATCAACTTCCTATATTCAAGACACTCATTCATTCATTCAGATATTTGCTGAGAATCCGTCATGTAACAGGACAGGCTGTGTCTGACGCATCAGTGAGACAACCAAGTGCAAGTACCGGGCCTGGCACTCAAGCAGCACAGTCTAGAAATCAAGATCTGGACGATATTCACACCGAGGAGGAGGCGACACCACGGTTGTGAAGATGATGACCAGAAAACCCAGGACAGAACTCTAAGTAAAGTCAACACCGAGAGGGTGGGCAGACGGAGACCCAACCAGGTGACAGAGAGGAACGGGCAGGAAGGTGAGCAGCAGACGTGACACAGAATCAGAAAACCCGAGGGAAGATGGCATCTCAAACAGACAAAAGACAGGTCCGCACTGGATGCTTCAAGTACAGTTAGGACAGAACAGCACCCGCTGGATTTGACAGCACTGAGATCAGCAATGAGCAATTCGGGTGGAGCGAGCAAGGCACAGAGCCCAGACTAGGGTATCTGGGAGCGCGCATGCCATCAGAAATGCTAACAATCAATGGAGCCGTGCTGTCAAAAGCCTGGCTGCGAAGGGAAGAGAGAAACAGAAAGACAGCTAGAGACATGACATAAAAGGAAGGAACAGCTGCTTTTATTTTTGCTTTCAAGATTTTAAAACTGTGTAATATCCAATACATAAATATTACAAAGTATATACATATATAACACATAATGTTTACAAAAACCTTGTATATATATTAAAATACACAGTAAAAGGCTGAAGATACAGGAGACAAAGATGAGAAGGCTGGAAGGAATGAGACCCAAAGCCCAGACGGACAATTAGCCATGGGCAGGAATGGGGTACTTTCACCGCTGAGATTAAAAAGTAAAAACAGCTATAAACAGAGAAAAATAAAAGACAGTTTAAGAGAGGAGAACAAAGTTTAAATAGATGGCCTTGATTTCTCAGTGGAAAAGGATGCAAGAGTGGGGATGCCAGCCTCCAGGTGAAGTCAGCGGACAGAGTACTGCAAAGTAGTAGGAAATGAGATATTCGTTCAAGTATGCAGGGACGGGTGGGTAACAGACGACCAAAATTCTAATGACACACAAAAAAACAAACTGCAGCTGAATGGATAAACACTGCAAGGACTCTAAGTTCAACTTCCATGCACCATGTCTGAAGCAAACTAAAGCAAAACAGGGAACAAAGAAAGCCGACAACATGGAGTCCAGGGACAGGCAGAACTAACCCAGGAGTATAACAAAGAGAAATTCAAGGGTGACAGCGGTACAGCAGCCCTAGACGCACGGCCAGAGATTCAGCAAAGAGTGTAAATAAGAAGCTGGAAGACAGGAGATACAGGAAAGAAGGTGGATGTTTCTCCTGTCCATAAGGGAAAAAAGGTAACTAGAAAAACTAAGAAAAAGAAAAAGGTGTGTAAGTTAGCTATGATACAAATATGAACAAAACCTGGTATGCTTCTGAGCAAGTAAAGAATAAAACACTTGAAACACCTGTTCAGAGGCACAAATGGCCTGGAGCCCAGCTCCCCCTCTGTGATTATGCAGTAAATAATACGCACATGGGCAGAATTTTGTAGTTGCTGTTGATTTTCAATTTTCAGAACCAACCAACAGAGTTCAAGAAAGAACAGACACACACACACACACAACAGGGAACTGAGATACAGTATAACAAACTCAGAAACACAGATTTAAGCATATTATTTAAAGTTATAAAAATAATCAACCAAAGAACAAAAAATTAAAAATTGGGAGGATATGAGTTAAATTCTCATCTTTTTGCTTAAAGTTGGTAAGATATGGAAAAACAAGCACAGCATTTCAAGTTACAGGTTACAACAAGCAGGTTAAACTATTACAACAATTCTTATAACAAGGAGGTTAAAAAAAGATTGTTGGAGTGAGGGGAAATTACCCTATGCACTGTATGAACAACTTGTGCACCTTACCTTTTTTGGTTTTGTTTGTTTGGTTTTTTGTTTTGGGGGAGGTAATTAGGTATTTATTTCTTTTGATAAAGGTAATGGGGATTGAACCCAGGACCTTGTGCATGATAGATATGCACTCTACCACTTAGTAACCCTCTCCCACATCACTTTTTTTAGCAACATTAAAATGCAAATTTAATCTGACGGTCAGGAAATAATTTTATGAGCCAGAGAAGGTAAACATAGGGCCTTGTACCTTGGCCTCCCATTTCTTCTTTATTATATAAAGTGTAACGCAATTGCAGCCCTTTTCAGAAACAGTCACACACAAAAAAACAAGGGAAGGGGCAGTGAATAGTGGGAAGTTTCAGGGGTAGATTATTGGAAAGAGAGGTAAACATCACTGAAAGAAATAGGAAATGGAACTGACTACCCCTAGAAAGACTAACTTTATAGGGGCTTAAAAATCATAAGGTTATTTGTTTCCGGTGATACAGATGCAGGAAAACAGAAGGCCCACTGTTTGACTGATCCAGGCTGCAAGTCCCTTCTGTAGCCAAAGAGATCGTGAGTCAACAGCGACAGGGTAAGCAAGCTGTGGACCACGGATGAGTAGGAACAAAGTGAAAGCAAGAGATGACAAAAAAAATCAAAACAGAGTACTAATCTTGATAAGGTCAAAGGAGTAGATATTATACAGAGTGAAAAACTGAATAAGCAGAAAATTGAGTTTAGTTTTTCAAAAGCCAAACCGTTCTTGTAAACAAGGTTAGAGCCAAGGAAACAGCAGTGAAGCTGAGGTGGCCAAGCAGCAGTAAGACGGGCATGACTAAGAGCAGAAAGTTACATCACGAGCCAACGCGAAGGTCCTCCAGAGAAAATGCCCAGGGGATGACCGGGGGCGTGGCAGGCAGAGCAAAGAACAGGATCAGAGAGCTGTATAAGGCACACAGCAGGCCTAGACGAAGTATCTCAGAAACAGATGGAGGAGCCACAGTGCTCTAGAAACAGCCAGGGGCACACGAAGGTAGCCCAGCGGGAACCTGGGAGCTCAGCGCGCAGGGCCCTCCGCAGAGGCACCGCAAGCCCCAGCCCTGGACCAGTCCCGGCTGGTCACTGGACGCTCTTGATTCTCAGTTTACTTCCACAGCCGGTACCGCTTCTTCCCTCACTTCAAATTAAATAATTCAGTGCCTGGGCAGCCGAAACATCTAGTGATAAATAACTTAACACTTACCCCTACTTTCCGTAAGAGATCCCCCACAATGTTCAGTGCTGATATCCTAGCTGAAGGAGTCAGTGGACTGGTCCCAAAACCGTTTGGTATCGCTAGAGAAAGACAAAAGGCAAGTGAGTGATCACTCTTGCAGTTCCCTTTATACTTGGGTTTTGCTTGATAACGCAAAGCAGTATACACTCAATGAAAACCCAATCTAGTATTCTAAACTGCGGATAAAATATAAAGTGGAGATAACCAAAAATACATTTAACCATCTTCCAATTGATAGATATTTAAATTATATCCAATTTTTCATCATTACACTTTCAAGGACATATATCCTTAAAACATCTAGACAAGTATTTCTGGAGAAGAGGTTCCTAAAAATGGAACTGCTGGGTCAGAGGGTATGCCCACATTTTCACCTTCGTGTCCTGCCAAAATGCTCCTAGGCTGTGCCAGTATCAACGGTCTGTGTGGTGGTGCCCTCAGTGTATTACACATTTTTTTTTCCTTGCCAATTTGATAGCCACTGTTTTAATTTTTGTTTCCTTAATAATTAGTCGTTTGAATCTCTTTTTCTGGAAGTCATCTGTTTATCTCTGCACTTTTTTTCTACTGGGTTGTCTTTTCTTTCGTCAATTTACAAGAGCACTATACATTATAGACAGTCAACCTTTCTCTTGTATGTTTTATTTTTCAGTGTGACATTTATCTTTTAAACTTTGTGTTTTGAGGGGAAGCCTTGGACTTCCTCACCTCAATATTATAAAAATGTCACCCACATTTTCTAATGTTTTCCTAAAAGACTTTTTTAGACATAGATCATTTAACTCATCACATATCTAATTTTTTCCCCTGCAAATGGATATCCAATTGTGCCAAAACCATTTAGAGAAGAACATATCTCATCTGACCTGGCACTAAAACCATACTCTGAATTTCCTACATATTTCAAGTTCCAGTAAGTTGTCTATTCCACCAGAATTACACTGCTTTAGTTATTACACTGTTAGAATATATTTGGTACTCTAAAGGACAAAGCCTCTTTGTTATTAACCTACTTCAAACTTTTCTTTTTTTTTTTCTTAAATGAGGGGGAGGTAATTAGGTTTATTCACTTATTTAGGTTTGGAGGAGGTACTGGGCATTGAACCCAAGACCTCATGCATGCTTTGCATGTACTCTACCACTTGAGCTATACCCTCCCCTCTATTTCAAACTTTTCTTGACTATTCTTGTACATTTACTCTTCCAGAGTGACTTTACAATCAACTTTCCAACATTAAAAATCCTGTTAAGAATTTTCTTAGAAATTTAAACTACTGACTGATTTGGGGAAGATGGGTATTGCAACCATGTCTTCCCGTTCAGAATCATGGTATTTTAGCATGATATTTTTCACATCTTCTTACAGCAAAGAAGGTTTTCAGTTTTGCACTTACATTATTTTTGAGGTATTAAAGCACAGTAGTTAAGAGCTCTGGAGCTAAACTGCTAGATATAAATCCACCTCTGCCATTTAGCAACTGTGTAAAAGGGGGGTGAGTAATAACAGCACTTATCTGATAAAGCCGCTGTGAAGTTTAAATTAGTTAATACACTTTTTAAATGCCTAGCACACAGTAAGTACTCGATAAATGCTGGCTATTATTTTCATCTGTTTTCTACAGTGCTAACCAGCATGCAAAACACTTTTCTTGCTACTGCTGCTGCTGCCATTACCCTTGTGCTCTAGAATATGGTCTCACTGATGGCAGAACTACACTCCCAGCATCCTGAGTGATACACGTATGCAATGTGATATAAGGAAACTGCTATACTTTTCTTGTCAAAAATCTCGATCTAATTTTTCACTATTCCCCTGAATTTTGTACTTTAAGTATTATTAAATCTGTACTTTCATGGTAAGTTGTCTTAAAGGCTTTTTGGAAACAGGCATTATATCAATGAAATGCAGTTAGAGAGGAACTACTTCACAGAGATCAGCTCTTCAGTCCTGCCCTCTGGCTTCTCACTGCATCTGTGCCCACCTCCTTGTCATGAAATGGCAGCTTTAGGTCAGTGAAAGTTCATGCTATCAGTTCCAATCTAAAGATGTGTCTATCTGGACAAATACTGCTGCCTTGGGGCTGACATACCCTAATTCTGTGCCACAGCGAGCGCTACGTCCTAGTGACACCCCAAGAGGCTCCTCACTGTTCTGACCAGCGCTCAACTGAAGAATTTTCAGAACTTACCTGCATAATTCTAATTAGAAACATAAAAGTAAAACATTGTAAATTCTCAAATGTTAGTAAGTTTGAGGTTCTCAAATACACAAGCAGCCATTCTGAAAAACGCACAGTGAGCACTCCTGGTGACCGCTGTGATCTACACACTGCCTGCCCTGTGTCTCAGTAGCAAACCCAGCACGTACCAGTACAACCAGCACCACCTTGGAATTATACTTTCTCTAATATCACCTCATAGCAAGATGAAGATAGGGTGAATTACCTATCCGAGGACGACTGAGCACTTGAAATTTGGCCAATGCAGTTAGAAACTCAATTTTTAATTTTAATTCATTTAAATTACTAAGAATTTAAATTTACATAGTCACATCTGAGCAGCTACTGCATTGGGCACACAGACACAGAGGGCTTACTGTTCTAACTGCCCAGACAGAACCCTTCCCGTATCACTTTCTGAAAGAGAAAATCCTGTATTTAAAGAAAGGATGGGAAGAAAGATAGCTTCCATTTGGGGAGAAAAAAAGTATAGAGGAAGTGAAAGTAGCTGAAATATGATCTATAAGCAGCAAAAACTAAATAAATCTCAATTGAGAGCTTCAGGGTTCCAGTCTTAAAATTCCATTTAGTGGCTACTAAATGGTTTTTCTGCTTATCTGGGTTTTTTAAAAAAAACACCTTGACTGATGGCAAAAGGAATATTCTTCGTGTACTATTCATCGGTTACTCTGAATTTCACCTCTGAAATGGCAGCTACTGTGTCACAGAATGGACACGTCCATCCAAGCCAATCTTAGACGAGTCTGAATGGTAACTTGATGAGTCTCTGTACATTCTGTGTATAGACTTCTGTCCCCTGATAGTTAAGTGACAAAAGCAAGAAGTAAAACTGCATTTAAATACGATCCCAAAACTTGTGTATAACAAGAAAGTGGCACAAACACAAAAAAGCAAACCTAACAGAAAAAAAGTCAAAGTGTTAGCTGACTTTAAAAAGCAGTAAGACTGCAGATGGATTTTCTTCTTTTTTGCTTTTAAATTTTTCTACATGAACATGTATTACTGCTACAGTCAAAAGATAAACTTTCCTTAAAAACCTTTAACTTTTTACAATTTCAACTTATTAAACTGCTCTGTCTTTAACGTAGCCATCATCTGTTTCCTGTGTATGAGTGGCCTAGAAAACAATTCCTTCTGCTTCACACAGTGCTACTTAACCAACTTTTAAACTGAAATTATTGCTTAAATCCTAGCAATGCCTGCTTCATCAGCAAACACTCTAAAGTTGATCATCTACCAAAGGTTCTAAAAGAAAAGACATTACAAACCTTTTGGTGAAGGAAAACTATTCTCCGTTCCTTTGCCAACAGGAGTAGCTGGCAAAGAAAGTGATGCCTGGACAGCAGAATCCATCTTTTCACAGTCTAGAGTGGGAGAACTGGGAGCTGACTTTCTGGTCACTTCCTGCTGTCTTTCCCGAACAGCCAATTCTTGTCTTAAATCTGTTAAGATATTGCAAAGGTAATAAAATTCGATACAGGAACCAACTACATCAAGCAAAGTCATATCTGAAATGCCATAAAAGGGGGTGAGTACAGCTCAGTGGTAGAGCACATGTTCAGCATGCATGAGGTCCTGGGTTCAACCCCCAGTACCTCCATTAAAAATAAATAAATCTAATTACCCTCCCCCTCAACAACAAAAAAAAAATCATTGAATTGAAATGCCATAGACAGTCTTCCTAAACTACTATTTCTCAAAAATGAATTTCCTATGTAACAATTTTTATTTCTAGGGGAATAAAAATGACAATCCTACTGTCTGAATGATCACTTAGAATCTAAAACTGCTACAAGCCTGAGAACAGTTGTTTATGCCTATATGCAAAAAGAAATAGGGCAGAGTCCAAGTAGAATTCACAGTGAACCTTTATGACACAAAATAAATATTCTTAACGAACTCATTTGTATTTATTTTGAAATGATGATGTATTTGGGGATTATTACAAAATCAGCGAAGGTCATTTTGTAATCTTAAATGAGTTGGCATTTTTTAATTATTGCTATGGAATATTTTGTTTTAGAAAAGAAGTGTTCAGAACAGTTGCAAATTGTTTTCTTGCTTTCAAATACTGCATTTTTAATTCAAAAAGTAATGTTCTTTTCCAGATACTCAACTGACCTACAGAAACTTGCTTATATTAAAAAAGGATACAAAGTTATCCCACTTCTTGGTATATATCCAAAAGAATTCAATGCAGGACATCAAGATATTAGCACACCCATGTTCATTATGATATGAAATAAGCCAGTCTCAAAAAGACAAATACTGTATGATTTCACTTATACGAGGTATCTAAAGGACAGCAGTCCTCCCTCATCCAAGGGGGATGTTCCAAGACCCCCAGTGGATGATTCACATCCACCAAACGTGACAGCACAAGATTTCTCCTGCTACACAGAATGGCACACAATTTAAAACTTATGAACTGTTTATTTCTGGAATTTTCCACTCATTATTTTCAGACTGCAGCTGACCGCAGGTAACTGAAACCATGGAAAGAGAAACTGAAGATAAGGGGGAACAAAACTCAAACTCTGTGCCTCAGTTTTGTGACCTACAAAATGGGGATAATATCTACCTTCTAGAGTTGATAATGTAGGTATTGAGTTAAGAGATTAAAAGTCCTGAGCATGGTGTCTGATAGAAGTATATAAATGTATATAGCTTTAAAAAGTTGAACCTTAAGATAGCTTAGCACTCTGGCTTAGGGACAGTAAGGTAAGAGATAAATATTCTTTAAGTTATAAATTTTACCTCTTGCTTCATCCTTTAACCTCTGTACAGAGACCAACAAAGATTCCTTTTCATCAAGTTCACTTTCTAAAAATGCATTTCGTTCAATGGCCTGATTTAGCCTTTGTTCAAAGTCTTCCAGTGAAACTATTGTTGCCCTAAAAAGGAAAAAAAAAAATTAGAGTCCACAAACTAAATAAATAACGTGCAAACAGCTAATACAAAAAACTGTCAGTTCATCTCATGCCATTTCCTGACCTAGAAAGCCTGGCCCAGCTGAAAAAGAATGATCTCACCCTCTTCTAACCTCTGCTGCATTTAGTGTCTCTACTATCATTTGGGGCCATTTAATATATTCTTTTCTCTTACATTCCAATCTAAACTCAAAGTTTCTTAAAAGAAGGCCACTTACTATATAATTTATACCTCCACACTGGATTTTAAACACGATTCAATCCAGTTTACACATTTTCATGAAGAAAACTTTTCAATAGTTTTAGAGTATGTAAGAATTAACTAAGAATCTGTTTAAAACACGAAGTCCTGGGTCCCACTCCCTTTACTTTCTCCCTACCAACCCTCTTTTTTTTCCTGCATTTCTCATCTCACTCATTTATTCAACAAACATAGACAGGTACCTACTGTGTGCTGTCTACCCACTATGTGCTATTTGCTACAGAAATAAAATTCCCTAACCTCAAGTTAGAACTAGTAATGCCATGTCCAATTTTATCAAGTCCTACCAACTGTCAAAATATCTCTCAGTTCCATTTGCTCTCTTTCAATCTGTTCCTGGCTTAATTCTTCACCCATCACCTGGATTACTCCTAAATGGTCTTCACATCTCCCCCTCCCTACTTTCAATTCCTCAGTATTACCTTTTCAAATCACAATCTGATAATACTCCTAATTTTAGAAAATTCTTAAAGAGTGCCCCTTTGCCTGTAGAATGACTTTCAAACACAAGAACAAGGTTCTCCACAATTTGGCCCCAAACACCTTCCAGTCTCATCTTGTTCAGCCATACTGTCTCTACACATTTCAACCAAGTGAAATATTAACACCTTGTGCACATTCCTGCCTCTCTGCCTCTGCATCCCTCTCTTCACCTGGATAATACCTATTTCTCCTCGCAGACTCAGCTTCCCCAGTTACCACAAGGTACTTCAGCTGCCCCCTTCTCTATGCCCTGCAGCAGCTTGCGCATTCTTTTTACCAGTCTTTATCACGTGGAACACCCATATCTGTCAAGCCCAAGGGCAATGGCTAGCTTATCTCTGTATCCTCAACTCTAACATCATGCCAAGCATTTATGAGTCACTCAAATATTAAGGAAAGAAATATCAGAAAATAATTGTTAAGTAATAAGAACTAAGTCTAGAATGGTTAAGAAACTACTAATTATAGACATATGAAACCTAGGCCAAGTAATGGCAAGCCACTATAGGCTGCTCAGCAGAGTCACAATGAAAGCATTATTTTGAGAAAATTCATTGATCAGTATTAAAACAGAAGACAATAAAAACAAGTGAAAATTTAAAAGCAGATCAGGTAGGACGTAACTGCAGAATTCAGCTATAAGATGTGAGAACCTACAGAAAGTGTGGTACTATTGAGAACACAGAGGGAAAGACGGAGGAATGAATAAGACAGATACTTTAAAAAAAAAAAAAAAGGTACCTGAAAGACAAAGGAAAAAGACATAATGAAAAGAAAAGCTTGGAAGGGCATTTTCTGGGGAGGTAAAGATCGCTGGTAAGTTTCAATGCAATGAGTTACAGGTGACATGAGATACCAGAAGGATATGTTCTGGGACTAAGATCCAGGTGATAGGTTGAGCCTAAAGACAGATTCTAATCACTGATTGCCAACTTTGGTTACTCCAACAAAATGCCCATCACTCATATACCTTTTTGCTCGCTCCAGGTCATCGTTGGCCTGCTCCAGCTCTCTCACATACTTATGCAACTGCTCCTTAATGGCCCGAGTCTGACTTAAATCATCTTCTAATACTGAGACCTGCTTGTAGCTCTGTGCATATTGATGTTCTAGTTTCTCCTGAAGGCATGGGTATAGGAAGGAAAGTATGCATCATTAACATAGCTTTCTTTAACAACGGATGTACCCCAAGTAAGGGACAGGGTAGGGGATCCAAAAATTCACCCACAGTCTGAGTTGATTGTACCCCTCCCTCATTTTCATAATATTTAAAAACAATGACATTAATTCCAAGTGCCTTAACTCATATAAAATTAGTCAATCATTTTCCTCTCAAAGAAATCTAATAATGATCTCTCTGAAAAGAGGTAAAATAGTAAAACCATTGCCTCAAAAGCCTCAACCTTGGTGGGGGATCCTGAGTTCTCAGGCTGAATGCAGCCGAGGGTAAGGAAAGAAGTTGACTGACAGAGTTCAAATTCCCTACACCTTACCTGCCCGCCCCAACCTTCCCCTAACCCATCCTCCTGCCCAGACACTGAAAAACCACAAGATTTGGTTCAGGCATATGATGAAGAGCAGCAAAAGGGGTTAATCTTTTTATTTGCGAAAATTTCTTGTTAGAAAGGACTTTTTAAATCCAAACTAAACTCTCAAACTAAAGGGACTATGAACCATAATGAAATAAATATGCATTTCATACAAATATAATTTTAAAGTACCACTGAATGAGGCAATCTGTCAAAACAAATCATCAGGCAGCTTCTGAAAAATTACAGGAACTACAACATAATATTATAGCTAGGAAGGTTATAGCTAAAAAACCGACAGCTACAGTTTCGAAGTGAACTCCTGAACTCTAAATCACCTTTCCCCTGGTTCTATGAAAGAAAATGGTGTGTCAAAAATTCACTTTAGGCCATTTTATACTTTTATATTGCCTGCTGTTCTTAAGCTCCACGTGAAAAAATGTATTTCTCATTTTAATAAAACCCAGCATATTGGACACCAGCTTCTAAGGCCACAATTACCTTCAACGCTTCCACTTCATACTTCAGTCTTTGGTTATCAGCTTGCAAGTCTCTATTTCTTTGTTCAGCCTGTACTAATTGTGCCTCCAACTCTGCTTCTAATTCTCTGCTTCCTTCCTGGAATTCAACTAGCTCATCCCGAGCTTCCTGGAAGCTAATGAGAAACAAAATGGGGAAGATGGTTACACTAGGAACCGAAAGGATCATCTTGAAGATGATTATGTATCAATTCAATCATTTTTGCCTGAACATTCTACTACTATAAAATACACTAAACAATAAAGACAATCAGCTGTACATCTTACCCTACACGCAGGGTTCAATGAAAATAAGTTAAGGCTCAAAAGGATGCACATTTTATATAACCTTGTATCTTTCTTACTTAATGTATTAATGAAGATGCACATATTACTATCCACAAATTAGTTTAGCATTTAGGTGTTTTTTCAATATAACTGATTTCCTTTGTAATTCTATTATTTAATTTTATGCATTTAAAAACATTATTCTGAGAAGGAGTCCACAGGCTTCCCCGTCTATCAAGGCATCTAACAGCACAAAAAAAGACTAAGAAGCCCCGCCACAGACACACACCTTCCACGTCCACTGGCTTCAGCAGTAACAATGCAATGGCAGTAAAAGGTTTGGTAAGGCACAGTAAACTGTTAACCAAAGTAGGAAAATGTATATGTATCTTAGAAAGATTCCATTTTAAAAAGAAATTTAAGACAAGTTTTGGTGCTTAAAAGGTTACCTAAAAGTTTTCCCAACTAACTGAAGTAACTGAGATTTTACAAAATGCTCTGTATTACCCCTGAAGCTCTTGGTCCTCCCTCAAAGCTTTGCTGGCTCCAGACACCGATAACACTTGCTTGAACAGAGTCTGATCTAAGGAGCCCTAGACAGCTTATCAGAATCTCCAAAAGACCAAAATGACAAGGCAGAATCAGAGCACGCAGAGCACGCCAAAGATGGCCAAGCATAGTAATAAGCATAAAAGGAGGTAAGCTACCAGAAGAAATCACAAATGACACTAAGTTTTCTTATTACTTTAATAATTCAAGTAATACAAGGATTTATGACATTTTTACACTACTTAAATACCAGCAATGTTTATGACTATTTCAAGAATCCCAATCCTAAGTCGAACTCTAAATTTAGCTTTGTTTAAAAAAAAATGCACAGGCTAGAGATGATGCTTTCCAAAGCCCTCTCCTATTTTTAAGATGCTTTTCAACGTTACCTTTGTTTATACTTTAAGGAAAGTTCCTTCCAATAAGCAGTTTCCTCCTTTAAACTTGAAAAATCTGGTATATCTTCACCATCCATGATCAAGGAAGCCTGTGAAATATTAAAGACAAAAATAAATTAATAGAGAACATAGGAATCTTAATAAAAGTATAAAATCTGGGACAACACTAAATCTGCAGCATTCTGGAGGGAGTCAAACATGGAAAGATTCTAAGAGGGTTTAACTCTTTATTATAGCTCAGGCACATTTAATCCCTTCACCACTCCGCTGTTGGGGGTGGACAAGGTCATGATAGGAAATGAACAGAACAAAGACACTGAAGCCACATGAAGCACTTCTGGTCACAGCACTAGGTTCTGGGGAATTGGCCCCACATAATCACCCTGCACACAGCAGCTGGCTTAAGGCTAAGTGATCTTCTGGGAATCCGCGGATAGAAAGAAGCTTGCTGTCAGAGCTGCTGTGACTGCTTCTCTGTTGTACAATCCCTTCAAAACACATGCTTGAAACATTTTACGCCAGGTGACCCTACTAGGAGATCAGGCACATTCCCAATAATTTACTATTATTACATTTCTAAGAATTTCCTGCTAATTCTCTCTTAAGTCCCACGCTTCCTCCATAAAGCCACTATTCCTCCAACTTCAGTGTTCCTTCATCTCGGTTCTTTCTCCCAAGGTGTTCAGAGATGGTGAAAAATTTCTACTTAGTTAGCCCTGCATGTGGGCTGACTGTCTTAAAACACCCCCCCCCCCCACCCCACTACCCGCCGGCGGAACACCACAGGCGCTAGACTCCCGCCTACAGCGGCTCGGTCTCACCCCGCCCCGCCGCCCCCGCCCCCCCCCACCCCGCATCTCCCGTCCCGTTCCAGCTGCGCTTTTCAGAGCTGCCCGACCTCGCCATTCCGTCTCAGGTCTGCATATTTTCCCCACCTAGAAAGGCTGGCCCTTCCCTGTGCATTTGGAAAGCACCTATTTATCCTCTAAAACCTAGCTGTCATGTTTTCCAGAAAGCCTTTCCTGTCCTCAACCAGACAGCGCCAAATCTCCCACACCCCCCGCTCCCCCTACACGTGCTTTCATGAACACACTCACCGCATCCTAACGGATTTGCTTACACCCCTATGGCCCCTATTAGGCTGTGTATTCTTCTTACTTCTTTCAACCCCAGCACAATTTCTGCACAACAGCAGATACTCAATAATATTTACTAAGTCAAATCAAAATTGATTCAACCTAATCCATACTGGGCAGCAAGAATCCAAGACCAGATTTAAAAGTAAATTAATAAAAACTTGGAGTTGTAGAGAACTTGGGAGTTCATCTAGCACAACCCACTACTTATGAATGTTTAGCAAAATCACGACAAGAACAAATACAGAAATCCATTCTGAGGGCAGGTTTACCAACGAGAAACAAGAATGGTTGCTAGATGAATAAAATTAAAAATGGAACTACACACAATGACTTTAATATCTTTGTGGCCTACTGTGATTTTTTTTGTTTCAGTCAAGTCCTCCCTGACCACACCATCTATTATTACCTTTGGCATGTTGGTCAATCTCCCAATTATCTTAAATTACCAATCAGCTTCAGAGTTCTTTGAAGAGATGGGTCCTAGACTTATTTTGCATCCCTTCATGGCACCAAGCGTAGCACTCTACTCAGAGGACATACGTAGTGCTTGCAAACGTTTACTGAACACCTACAATGTGCAGACATTAAGTACTGGATAAATATTTCGTGCACCAAACACCCCCTCCTCTAATCTGCTTCGCCCTACACTGGTACACTATTGTCTGTTATGCTAATCTCTTAAAGCATGACAGCTCTTCGTGTGTAAACCCCACAGAGTTAGGAGTCCTGGTGAGACTGGGGTCCAGAGTTCCAATTCTGCTGTTAAATTCTGTAAGCAATCTGCTTAATCTTACTCTTAATCTTCATCAAATAAGGGTTTGGACAGTATCAGATGACTTGTTTCTTCAAGTATGTATACTGATGAGTAAAAAATACTGATCAATTTTATAATCCTATCCCTTCAACAAAGTTCCCAATTCCCACTCAGTTTCCCCAGATGTAGGGATAATCTTAGTGATACCTGTAATTTAATTTGTAGTAAGCTGTAAATGAAGGTGAGGCTAATCCAGCAGCAAGAGGTATCTGTATTTCTAAAGAATATCCAAGGCACTTAAAGACATCACCATGTGACATCAAAAACTCCTCAGACTAACTGCCTAAGTCTCCTTGACACACCAGCTGAAGATATAATTACAGGACACATAAGAGAAGCATCTAAGGGTAAGGCAACAATCATGTGTCCCTTGAATGCTCTAAAGTCTTTCCCCAAAATCCCAAAAGAAAAATTGTTGACTACATTTGAAATCTATGTAACCAGCCCTAAAGAAGTTCGCGGGCACTAACTGGCCCTCAAATCTGGGTAGACACATTTGCCACCTGAACACTGGCAACCACGGATCAATGTGCAAGTCAAATACTCAGTTTCTGACACACAATCAATAAAGTACGGTTTTGCAAAACGTCATGAAGATCTGAGGAACACACGAAGCAAAGTTCTGCTGCTCCTTCCTCGATTTTAAACAAGAAACATTTGAAGAGACAGGAAAGGTTGAGGCCCCCAGTTAGTTCCGGAGGGCAGGACCTATGTCTTACATATAAATCCCTTTTGCATCACCAAAAACATGGAACCACGGTAGAAATCCAACAAATATTTGAATTTGAATTTGAATTATGATCTTTCTTTTATTCTTCCCCTTTGCTCTCAAAGTATTGTTTTCCTTTATTAACATCGAAATTCCTACTTCAAGAACGGAGTAAGCAAAAAGATGTGTGGGTAGTTTATTTCTACCTCACAACACACCACCATGTATTAAACCAGGAATATAAAACCTATCATTCTCGGCTAGACAAAATTGTCAGTCTGAAGCATGCCGAGCCACATTCACAGTCGCTCATAAAGCTCAGTGCAGGCTCCACATCAAAGAACAGGGAGCTGATGGGACTTACCGGGGAGAGCCTTAGAAACACCACTGCACACTAGCACCTAATCACTGTCCAGCTCTTAAGTCTTAAATATAAATGCACAACCAAGAACCACTAGACAAATGAGAAAAGCCAGTAGCCCGAGTAAGAAAATCCTAGGATCTACTCAACCTAGAGAAAACAGATAATTCAGGAAATGAGAGAACTTTTTCTCCTACAAGAACCCAGGAGAGTTACCTCCTCCACACTCCCTGAGACAGCTACAAAAGAGAAAAAACAAGACCTGGACAGCACAGGATGGAGGAAATAGTGGTTCCCACCCCGGATTGCAAAGAAGAGGCATCCCAAGACGAAGGCTAGTCCATAACGCCCAGAAAGTAACCCAGCCAGGTGGACGGCTCCAGAAACATGAGGAATCCCATACAACACACACCAGGAAGCTGGATAACTCTGAGGTCATAGTGAAAGCAAATCACTTGTGGTCGATAAGGAAAAAAAAAAAAAGCAAGTGGAAACTCCAGAGAAATCAAAACGAGTCTAAGAAAGTCCCGATCTTTATATGGTATTTTTTAAATTAAAGATTTCAAGTCTAAAATTTTTAATTTACTGATTTTATATTATGCAATTGAGGTAAGCTTCATAATTTTGTAGCCAACGAGTTACCTATTTTTGGTCTTAAATTTACCATACATTTAGTGCATTGCTCCCTTTTAAGGTTCTAGTATTTGGTGAACAAGTTTTTATTCTTTTTTAGGCCCTTTCCAATTCTGTAAACTTTGATGATAAAATGATAATACCTGGTTTTCTCAGTGAGTATCTTTTCAGCTTATATTCACCTGGCAGCCATCTTGGTCCCTTAAATATTTTTGCTGTCATGCTTTGGACCTTCTCTAGATTACATGCATGCCTTCTGGAGTTGAGTGACTGTGCTACTTCGGTATTTCAAGACTCTACTCATGGGCAGGATACTTTTAAGTTTTCAGTACTCCTTCTGTTACTATGCACATTTTTTTAAATTCTTGTTTGTTTTTTTGGCGAGGTGGGCAATTATGTTTATTTATTTAAGTGGAGGTACTGGGGATTGAACCCAGAACGTCAGGCATGCTGGGCATGCGCTCTACCACTGAGCTATACCCTCCCCCTTACTATGTACATCCAATGACTGTGTGGTCCATGGGCCAGTGTCCTCATGGAGGTTCATGACTACTAGATGCCTTCCTTGGCATGTAACACTTGAATGTATTTGAATGTGACGCCAATCCTTCTACAAATAGGGTTAGTGCTGTTTGCATCTACAAATGTTATCATTCACGTGCGCAGTTTGAAAGTTTTCTGTGTGAGGCTGTTTTTTGTTGTCGTTATTGACCCATTTATACAGTATCAGAAGGCCTACGGCAGTTAGTACTTTCAAGAGGCTTAACTAAGTAGTGTTCCCTGCGGAACCTCAGTGTTTGCACCTCTTGGTGTACTATAAGGTATCCATTTGTCCCTGACTTTTGGTTCTTGAATGGGCCATATTCTTAATACAACTACCAATTTTTCCATCAGCGTCCCCTGGCGACTCAGGTTTTAAACAGCCTTTCAGGTGAAACTTCTTGAGAATCTAGTTCTATTTCTTGTATCCTCCTTATCCAGCTACTTAGTTCAGTGTCAAATAATTCTAGCAAAACTACTTTAATATGGTTTCATTTTACACATGCTTCTGTTTTTTGGCTGAATCTTATGTGAACTGAATATTGACAACAATTTTTCTACTTAATAGGCTACTTATACGTTCACTTTTTTGGTCCCTCAAACAGTATTGTAATTTATGCCAGAAGACTTTTACTAAAATGACTATCATCTTCTATTCCAGAACAAACCAATTAAAAACATTTAACAGGGGACCAAGTGACAGGAATAGCACAGCATAACAGTTATGAGTCCAGACCCTGGATCCAAACTGCCCAGGTTTGAACCAGAGTCCTCTACTCACTAACTGACCTTGGGCAAGTTACTTAACCATCCAGTGACCCATTTTCTCACCTATAAAGTGGAGACACTAATTTTAAAAGAGTTGTTATAAAGATTGAGTTAATGTTTGAAAGTACTTAGCACAGAGTCTGGAACATAGTAAACACAGAATAAATTTCATTAAATTATTAAAAAATAAAAATACCTGGTGGTGTGGTTGCAGACCTTTGAAACATAACCACAAAATAAACGTGCTTCAGAATTTATAGCAAATGATTCCTTAAAATTAATCACTTCCAGAAGCTATGTGCATATTTCAGAGATATTACCATTACTGAAAACATTTCTAAAACCTCTTTTGGAACAGCCTTGAAGAGCCAGATAAAAAACTAAACAAAATTTCTTTTTTTGTGATCACACTTCATTTTTACTGCTTCCTAATTGGTACTATCAAGCTTTATTACTCTAATTTCATTCCAGTTATCCATTCCAAAACTCGGATTTTTTACAAATTAAAATTTGCTACCACTGCAGATATTCTAAAGACCTTCTCAGGGGCCATAAAGACAATCTGTTCATCTTGCTTCAAGTTACAACAGGATGTGTTCACTGTGTTATTTGAAACTATGTAACTGGAGATAGTAGGCTATAGAAAGTTGGCCAATACAGAAAACTATCGTTTAAAAAAAAAGAAAAATAAAGCTTTAATGACATATCTACAAGCTTCTGCAGCTGAAATGAAGGTAGATAATTATGTACTTTCCCTACTACCCAAATCTCTCAATACCATGTCTCCTATAGACAGAGTTAGAATCTGAAAAGTATGACAACTTTTACATGGGGCATTATCATACCGTGTGTGACCTTCAGAAATCCAGCAACTGACAAATCAACTCAATATAAAACAGCCTGTCCAAACTGCTAGGGTTATAAAGGAACTATTCTTTGTGTAATGATAAGAAAATCCATTTTATATGACATTGTCCTCTTGTTAGTAGTTGTACAATGGACTGCTGAGACTGGAAGAGTTTTTCTGGAACTCCCCATAGATAAGAGGTGCCTTTCTATCAAAATTCTTCTACTTCTCCCAAAAGTGATGTTTACAGAATTTTTAACTTTTCAAAGTTGATCATACAGTCTCCTTTTGGTCCTGACTACCAAACTTCTTTTTCTACCTTATGAGTATTCAGAAACTTATGTCAGAAGTAATTTTAAGCTTTAGTAACCAAATTTATCTCAGCGAGACTTAAAATGAGAATAAAAATAAGCCTCGGAGATGTCATGAAAGCCAGATCTACAGTTTTACTTATTGTAAGTGCTCCTCATCCAATTTCAATTTATTTAATTTTTAAAAGCAAAAAAACAGAACTTAAAAAAACAAAAACAAAAAAACAGCTTCATAAGATTTAGCAACTTCTATCTGGACCAGGTCAACCTGCAACCAGGGCTAGCCAAAGGGTTTTGTTATTGTTGTTCCTTATAATCTCTGTTTTTAAATTATAATTTTAATAAAGAATCAGAAGATGGGGGGGAGGGTATAGCTCAAATGGTAGAGCGCATGCTTAGCGTGCATGAGGTCCTGGGTTCAATCCCCAGTACCTCCTCTAAGAAAAATAAACCTACTTACCACTCCCCTCCAAAAAAAAAAAAACAAGATTCAGAAGAGATATCTTAGTTCTCCTCTATTCTCAACACATGACTTAATGCTGCATTTTACTCCACCAACTTCATAATTTAGCAAAGCCATTATCCTATTTCACAAATGGATTAAGAGCAACACAATTTATCAGACAAAATAATTAGGCAGCAACCGTGAACAAGTCTTAAGAGTAGGATTTCTCTTAAAACTGAGTACCAGTTCTTGCCCTAGGTGGTCTGCTCAAAAGTTTGTGAATAAATCTGCCACTAGCTTCTGGTATTTTGACAAGTCAAATTTTTCTACTTTGCTTTCTAGCTGAGAAGAGTGTAAAAATCCCCCAAAAAGAAACCAGAACTCCAAGCCGGGAGACGTAAATTCAGAACCAAGTGAAGCCACTCACCAGTTGATAACAATCCACAGTATAAATTACCTAATACCCCAACCCCACCTGGTCTCAATCTCGCCATCCGTCAAATGGCGATAACAGAAATCAGGCACAGCCATCAGGTGATGAGATTCAAAGGAGACAGCAAGAGTGCCCTGAAACGCGTAAAGGTGCCACAGAAATGGAATGTAATTATCAGTAGTGAAAGAACCCTCACTTTCCTGGCAAAACTTAAATGGTTACTTCGTTGCTTACCAGTTAAAAAAAAAAAAAGGTGAGCACAAGCAACCCGAACGTTTGGTAGCACTCTTCTGAACTCCAAGAGGGGTGATCAGCAGTTACGGGCGGGCAATCACGGGAATGCCATCTGAGCCCAAGGTGGGCTGCTTCCGCTCTCGACCCCCGCGGGAGAGAAGCGATGAGAGTTCAAAATTCAACCTGGCTCCGAACCACCCTCCCAGCAGAAGGAATGGAGGGAGGGAGCGGTGGAGGGAGAGGGCTGGGCACGCCGCTGCCACCTCCAACGCGGAGCACTCCTTGCGCCACTAACGCCCGGGCCCACGGTGCCACGTCCCGGCCTCCGTCCCCGCCATCCCTCACCCCACCCCCGGACGCAGGGACATCCTCCAGAGGCCGCAGGGCTCGCACCCTTCCAAGGGCCTCTGGTGGGCCCCACCTCGGACCAGGAAGGCAGGGGGCAGTTAGAGCGGTTGGAACAGTTGCCCCCGGACTGGCCGCCCCAGCACCCGGGCCCTGTCCGGCCCGGCGGGGCCTCGGACACAGCCCCAAGGCCCGGCCAGCTCCCTGGGGACAGGCCTCGGCGCCGCCCGCCCGTCCCGGAGCCTTCGGGAGCGGCCCGGCACCGCAGGCTCACCTCCAATGTGTCAAAAGCGCATGTTCGCCGCCGCTCGACCGACGTCTCCGCTCCGCTGGCCTGGCCAGGCCCGCCCAGCCGCTCAGCTCCGCTCCCCTCCGCAGCCCTGAACTCCACTCCGCGCACCTCCGCGCGCGGCTCCTCCCCGACACGTCAGGGGCTGCCAGGGAGTCCGAGGCCATTCTCTGACGCACGTGGGCGGGGTTCGGAGCATGCGCGCGAGCGTGCGGGTGGCCGGGGCGTGGCTGCGGCGAGGGTGGCGTCACAGGGGGCGGGGCCGGGCCGGGCCCGGCGCGCTGACGTCAAGCAGGCTGCGGCCTTCTGCGCAGGCGCCTGGGCCCCCGCAACTTGCGGCTTGCGACCTTTGCGGTTCCTCAAAGAGGCTCAGCGTTCAGGAAAGTGGCGTCATCGTGAGTGAGAACCTGCCTCCCAGTTTTCAGCCACTAAGTCCTGAAATTGTCTGTTTCAGTGTACCCGTTTATAAGAAGAACCTCGGCTCAGTTTTCAGCTCCGAGTCCACTCCGACCACCCAATAGACTACCGGGCGTATTTTAGCCCCCTCATCACTCTCATAAAGCCCTGTGTTGTCTTTACAGCACTTCCACTAGCTGAAGTTTTATACTCCCTGTCTTCCTCCAGTAAAATGTAAGTTCCATGACAGCCAGAGCCTCATTCCTTTCTTATTCCAGCAGATAGCTGGTCCCAGGCACAGTGAGCACTCAGATATTTGATGAGTTAACGAATGGATTCATGAGGGCACCAAGGGATTATAAATATATCCCTTTCTATATTTTACATATCTAAACGTCTTTATATATCTAAACGTGTATGTGTTTTCACCCCCCTGGGGCCCCCAACTAACGGAATCCATTTCATGCATACATATTCCCCCCAGGAGACTTGGAGAAGGAAGAGGGCTTAGAGGGTGCGGGGGGCGGCGGCTCAGAAGGGGGAGAAATGAGAATGGACAACTGCCTAGGAAGTGGAAACTTGAAGAAATAAAGCTGTTTTTAAAATAATTTTAGGAACTTTTGCTGTGTAATGTACAGTGTAATTCTCTGATGTCAGTGCTCTTGGGATTGGGTTTGGGAGGTTTGGGGATACAGCAATGATGTGTAAGACAGGCCTCAAGGTGAGCCTGGGAGGTCCAGTTATATTTTTGAGGGCATGGACATAAACAGGAACAATGCAAAATGGATTCTAAGAGATGTCAAAATCAATGAAAGTCAGAGAAGTGATTAATAGGGTTGTGGAAAGGATGGCACCTTGAGCTAGACTCTGAAGGATATCAGATTGAAAAGATCTTGAGAATAATGAGTAGTTCGCCTTTGTTGTACCATTTGTATGTACTGGCAATTGTGCTAAATGCTTGTTTTGCATAATTTAATTCTCACAATAACCCCATGAGATAGGTACTGTTATTATTCCCACTTTAGCAATGAGGAAACCAAGACTCAGCAAGATAAAGTTGCCCAAAGTCACCCAAGTGGAAAAAAAGAGGCCTCAAGGTTCAAACCCACCTAGTCTGGACTGTCTCACTCCAGAAACCACAGTGTTAACCACTGCTGTAGGGCCACTCGGGGGGGGGGGGGGACCATTTATTGCCCTGGAGCACCGTGCTAAGACCTTTATGTACACATTTCCTCCCTCGATCCTCACAAGTAGCTGGTGAGACTGGAATTATTACCTTCATTTTATATATTATTGGAAAACTGAGGCCCAGGAGAGCTAGGGTTTAAACCCAAGCAGGTCCAAGCCCAGTGACCTGGGACATCGTGGAAGCTCTTTCAGGCTCTGGGCCTCTGTTTTCCTGGCTGAAGCTGTGCTCTGGTCGATGAGATCACAGGAAGAGAGGTGATTAAGCAGGGAGGCCTTCCTGTGGACCTAGTGCCAAAACAAAACAGTCCCACCCTAAGAGATAAAAATAAAAGCTGCAACTTTGTCCCTGCTTCTTGGCTAAAGTCCTGGGAAACACACTGAGTCACCTAATGGCAGGCCAGGCCCAGCAGAAAACGTTGGCGTCATGTTCCAGGCCACCACCCCTCCCACCCAGCCTGGACCCAGAACCAGTGTTTGTCAGGACTGGTGCCGGCCCCATATTAATCAATGGGCTTTGTCTGGCAGGGCTCTCAGGCATATCAAAGCCCTGGACTGATCTTCCTCTGTGCTGAGTTCTCTCCCAAGTGACAGCAACCTTTGCCCCACTCCCTGCGTCCAATATTCCCACCCAGGGAAACTAAAGTGGAGATAAAAGCTGAAGGCAGTCTTTTAAGGCAACAGAAGTTATAATCTAGCTTTGTGAAGCCAGAAAGGTGAGTGAGGGTTGCCCCACCCTCCGCCCTCATAGACCAGTAAGAGGGGTTTTGCTGAGGTATGGGTCCCAGTACAAGGTCTTTCTTGGATAGAGCCATGGTGGGTCCCAGTACAAGGTCTTTCTTGGATAGAGCCATGGTGGTCAATGACAGTCCCTAAGAGTATCGTATCTTCTCTGCCACAAACTCTCCAGGAAAGAGAGGCCGAGTTTCACTGCTGGGTGGAGAGGGGTTGACCAGCCGCCTTAGGACACATCTGGACACTAATGCACACTCCAGCTCATGAAAATGCTGGATTCCAGCCACATCACATACTCACAAAAGGTGACGCATTGCACGCAGGCCTGCAGTGAAAACTTTGAGATGGGGCATGACTGTATTGAATCAGGGGAGCAGACACCACATAATCAAAGGATTTTTTCAGTCTAATGTCTCCATATTTCTTTGGCCAGTATTTTCTGCAAAGCTTTAGGGGCACAGATCAGGCTGGGCAAGGGACTCCTGGTGTCTGGTTCATTACTAATGGCCTGCTGGGTACGTCCACCAGATGTGCTACCACCATCTCCACCTCTTTGTGTGTGAACCCCAAACAGATCCTCCATTTGCCCCAGCTGAAATTTCCAAGAACGTTTTCATGTTCCTGTCAATGGTGTCATCACTCTCCTAGTCACTAAGGCAAGAAGGCCTCATCAACTCACCCTTAACTGTCCCCTGCCCCAGCTTTCATTTCACTCACATGGTCACCAAACCCGAAAGACTTTCCCTTCATAAACTCTCAAATAAATACATTTCCCAGTATTCTGCCCCTGAATCTCCCCAGTCCAGAGTCTCTCTTCCCAAACTTCTCTCCCTTGAATTTCTTGTTCCAGCCCCGCAGCCTGTACAGCCATCAGAGCACTCTTTCTAAGATCCCACTGTGTACAGAGCATCACTGGCTCCAAAACTTGTTTTGGCACCCTACTGCCTTTGTGATAAAGTGCAAACTACAAAGTCTGGCATTCAAGGCCCTCCCAAAGCAACTCCAACTCACTTCTCCAGTCTATTTCCTGCAGTTTACCTAGCTGGGGTCTAATTAGACCCTCCACTGTATCCCCCTACATGGACAGTTCCCTTCCTCTCTAGGCCTTTTCTTGACTCCCATTGCCCTGTGCACTACAGCTGCTCTCTAGGCTGGCCAGTCTGCCTTCCTCTTTGCCTTGTAAAAATCTCACTCATTGTTACCTCCTCCAGGAAGCCTTCCCTGATATCTAAAGCCCCAAAGTAAGTGCTCCTGCCTCTCAGCTCAAGTAGAGCCCTGCATAGTTCACAGGAGACTTACTGAACATGGCCTTTTAGTCATAGAGGTATCTGACCACCCCCAAGGAACCAGAGTTCACTGAGCGCAGGAACAGTGTTAATTGTCCTAATATCCCCCAGCAACAGGCACTTAGCAAACTCATTTAATATGCTTCAATGAAAGAAAGAGAATGAATCCATGGTTTGGTGGCTGTAACTCCAAATGCAAAACTGACAGCACTTTCTGGAACATGCCTCACATTCTGAGAAGAATTACCGTATAAAGAGAAGAGTTTCACTAGCATGAAAGGCCAAACGTGGGTGATGCCAGATTACAAAGGAACTGAGATTTAGGGCATGGGTAATTATGACTTTTCTTTGGCCTAAATCTGTATAGACTCAGTCTATGGCACCTACAATCCCCAAAGCAACATCATTTGCTTTTGTGATAAATAAATAAATTAATAATAATAGGAGTTTTAAGGGGGAGGGTATAGCTCAAGTGGTAGAGTGCATGCTTAGCATGCATGAAGTCCTGGGTTCAAGCTCCAGGACCTCCATTACAGAAAATAATAATAATTAAATAAACCTAATTACCTCCCCCGCTCCAAACAATAAAAATAAAATAAATGTTAAGAAAAATAATAAAATTGTTTTAAAATAATAATAATAATAGTTTTTTCTAATTCTTTTTTTTTTTTCTTTTTGGTTTCTCTATTTTTTTTCTTTTTCAAATGGAGGTACTGGAAATCGAACCAAGTACCCCATGCATGTTCAGCAACTGAGCTATACCCCCACCCCCAATAGGATTTTTTTTAATAAAAAAACAAATTATACACTTGGACCTGGAGGTGAGAAATGGTTTGACAGAGGAAAGTCATTCATTCATCAGCTGTGAGTTGAGCACTTGCTCTTTTCTAGGCTTTGTTCTAGGCCTTGGGGCTTCGACTATATAACTATAAAACGCACTCCCCCCACCCCCACCCCCCCAGAGCTCATACTGTAACCGGGAAAGACAGTAAGCAAAGAGGCAAATTTATTTCTGTCAGGTCACGACAAATGCTATAAAGAAACGTAGCCATGGTGGGGAGGGTGTAGCTCAAGTGGTAGAGCACATGCCTAGCATGCACAAGGTCCTGGGTTCAATCCCCAGAACCTCCTCTAAAGAAAAAGAAACAGCCAAGGTAAGAGGATAAGGTGTGGCAGGGGCTGCTCCCTGGGGGGATAATGTTCATAATCTTCTCCATAAAATTGTCAAGGCCCTTAAAATAACTATATCAAATGGAGATGCAATTAAGAGCATAAAAATTGGATGCCTTAAATAGAGACGTTTATCTTCCCATCATCATCATAGTGCCTGCCATGGTTGGAGGAATGAGTTCACTAGGTGGTCGATTTCCCCTTCCAAGATAAGGAGTGATAATCAGTTCATGTTTGATTTCAATGCCCACCACCTTTGGTGGTTTCCTAATCTTTGATCCAGCCAGCCAAGGGAAAAGAAAGTTCCATCTGTTGTCTTTACGGCTGTGTTTATTGCATCCTCAGTAGCTTCCTGGGCAAACAGTGCTTACCAAGTACCCAAAGCAACTCAGG